GAAAAGCTTACACGAACTCTTTGAATCGCCATAGCTGTAGAGCTGGTCCCTGTAGTTGTTTATAGGCATAGCCCCGGCGACGCACATCCCTTGCTGGTGACGAGAATTATGGCGATCCCCTGAATAATTTGGGCGGGGGTGACAGGCGCAGCCGCCGCGACCAACCACCGCCGTGGCTGCGGGGCTCTTCCCGTTAGAGCGGCGCGGAAGGCGGCAACAAGAAGATGGTGGCAATAGGTGATGAAGATGGAGACGGAGTCCGCAAGGGACAGGACGCCAGCAACGAGGCGGTGATGGTCAGATGGTGGCGGTAGGTGACGAGATCAGGCTCGACGCCGTCGTCCTTCATCCGTCGGAGTTGGCAAGGACGGGAAGGAGCTGCGCGATTTCCCGGGTCTCCGTGGTGGCAGACGGCGTCGGAGAGCGTGAGCAGCGTGGCGACGGTGGGGTAGAGGGGCCTGCTCGCCCGCGCGCAGCTTCTCCCCCCGCCGCCTGCGCCCAGATGCTCCCCCGCAGCCAGCTGTCACGTTGAATAAAACCAAAACTAAAACCGCCTATAAGATGAGGATAGCAAATATCAGGTATAAGACGAGGGACCTTCGATGTACTTCTTCCTTCGAGAAACATGAAGGAATTATCCAGCCCACTGAGGTTAAACACGATGTAGAGTTGTAGACATGTGGTACACAAATCCATGGGCTCAGCCCATTTTGTAGTGTATTAGTCCAAGCAGGCTCAAAGCTAGATTCTTTACCAGCATGAACTTCAGATGAAGTTCGTGTAGCCAGCAACATCCAAGCAAGCAAGATAAACATCCAGTGACACAAGTCACATTAAAGCAACATTCAAGCAAAAAAGCAAAATTAGTATACCAACTCACTAGTTCAGTTTCACTAGATAGAAAGCATACATGACACACAGCATTGCATTCTTAATTACGTACACACCACAAGACTGGAGAGGAAGGACTATCATCGTACAGACGCCATAGATGTCTCAAAACATCTTTATTCTTAGCACTTATTAACTAGGATGCATTTCTTCAGTCTCAGGTCTTAGATCACAAACTCACAGAGGAAACACAAAGTTACAGTGACAACAACTCATCACTCGTAACTGGATCATACTACTAGATTAGCAGTACTAGGTCCTTCCATCTCCTTGGTTTCCTGATCAGGAGGTTGCTTGCTTCAACTTGCCGCAGTTGCAGGGGTTGCAGGTGCAGTTGTCGCCGCACTTGCACCCGTTCTCTGCTCCTGCTCCGGCGGCGGCGCCGGCCTCCAACCCTTCGGCATGACTGCATCCATCAGAGAATTAACCAACCATAGATCAGTAATTAATTACTCCCTCCGTTTCTAAATATTTGACGCCGTTAACTTTTCTAAATATATTTGACCATTCGTCTTATTAAAAAAATTAAGAAATTATTAATTATTTTCCTATCATTTGATTTATTATTAAATATACTTTAATGTATTCATATAGTTTTACATATTCCACAAAATTTTTTAAATAAGACAAATAATCTAACATGTGTTAAAAAATTAATGGTGTCAAACATTTAGAAACGAAGGGAGTAGAACTCAGCGAAACATGAAACGATCTTGGATTGTTGCTACGCAGTTTTCAGAGTAAAAGGCATAATCGTTTTCTTCAGATAAAGGAGAGAGTTTTTGTCATAACGTGCATGAAGTTTTTAGTCGTTTTTCATTGGCTGTAGCTAGCGCTGCAATTTTGTCATACGTACACGTAAAATGGAAGGCAGTGAGCCTCTCAACAAAATGTTTTGTACTTTTGTTCTCTGTGATTCAGAAGGGGAAAAAAGGCAGGAAACATATGATAATTGACAAAAGAGGTTGGTAGCTAGAAAGATGGAGGTACTCAATTCTGTTCTATTAAAGTATATATATGGTAGTTAGAGTAGGATAAGATTGATTTACGTGGACTTCTTCCATATCCGTAATTCTTTCTTATCTCTACACCATGTACTTCTATATATAGTGATCCCTGAGACTCAATACAACGGTGTCAATAATCACAATATTTCCCTCTCCTTATACTATTCAACAAATTCAGTAATATAACACATGGATTTTGCCCATGAACAACAAGTACAGGATATGAAGAAGGAAAGGATTAGTGCACATACCCCTTGGAAGGTGCAACACCCATGATGACAGTCTGGGTGGTGGTCACCTCCTCAGCCATCCCCGGGTACATCTTGCATCTGCATGTACAAATAATCAATCAGTTTCCCAGGCAAGGATGGCAAGACTGCTCTCGCCCCTCAACGTACGACAGAATTTGCCACCAATTTCAGTTTATACCGACGATGCGGTTCTGTTTTTCCGCCCTACAGCTGAAGAAGCTCGAGTCATCAAGGGTATCCTGGAGTTGTTCGGGGCTGCCACAGGTCTCAAAACCAATTTCTCCAAAAGCGCAATCACTCCAATCCAATGTGACGAGCAGCAGTATGTGCAAGTTGAATCCATTCTCTCCTGCCGAGTGGAAAAGTTCCCAATCACTTATCTCGGACTCCCTCTCTCCACTAGGAAACCGACGAAGGCCGAGATCCAGCCGATCCTTGATAGGCTGGCAAAGAAGGTAGCCGGTTGGAAGCCGAAAATGCTGTCTATTGATGGGCGACTGTGCTTGATCAAGTCGGTCCTAATGGCGTTGCCGGTGCATTACATGACAGTCCTGCAGCTACCGCGATGGGCGATTAAGGACATCGAGCGGAAGTGCCGCGGGTTTCTTTGGAAAAGGACAGGAAGAGATCAGCGGCGGGCATTGCCTAGTCTCGTGGCGAAAGGTTTGATCACCCATCGAGAAAGGGGGACTTGGTGTCAAAGATCTTAATTTGTTCGGTCAAGCTCTCCGGTTGAAATGGCTTGCGAAATCCTTGGAGCAGAAGGATAGACCCTGGACCTTAGCAGCTTTCCGTCCTGGAAGCGATGTGGAAGAGATCTTTCGATCCGTCGCTGAGCACATCATTGGTGATGGGGTGGACACACAGTTTTGGACAGACAATTGGACAGGGAAAGGTTGCTTCGCCTGGAGGTGGCCGGTGTTGTTTTCCCATGTGAGCCGTGCCAAGCTGACAGTAGCTGATGCCCTGATTGCTAACAGATGGATTCGCCGATTACAAGGTGCCCTGTCCAATGAAGCTCTGGGTGAATTCTTCCAACTTTGGGATGAAGTTCGCGACGTGTCACTGCAGCAGATGGCTGACACGATCAAATGGAAGTTGACTGCTGATGGTAATTTCTCAGTGGCCTCGGCGTATGATCTATTTTTCATAGCGACAGAGGACTGTTCCTACGGGGACACGCTGTGGCACTCCAGGGTGTCGTCGCGTGTTCGCTTCTTCATGTGGATTGCACTGAAGGGCCGCTGTCTCACGGCGGACAACCTGGCGAAGAGAAACTGGCCGCATGACGCCATTTGCTCCCTATGCCAACGCGAGAACGAAGACTGCCATCATTTGCTTGTGTCCTGTGATTATACGGCGGCTTTGGCGCAAGCTGAGACGTTGGTGCAACATTAACATTGCAATCACTGCGGAAGATGTCAGGCCGCTTGCAGATTGGTGGATCGCGACAAGACGGCGTTTTCAGAACACATACAGGACGGATTTCGATAGTCTGTTCATGCTAATTTGTTGGCTTATCTGGAAAGAGCGAAATACAAGGATCTTTCAACACATCGCCAAGTTGGTTGACCGGCTAGCGAATGACATCAACGAGGAAATCGCAATTTGGAGGGTAGCAGGGATTTTTTCCCAGGCTAGCGAGTAATCCCGATTTGCCCCATTTTTTCCTTTTCTTTCCGGGCTTGAGTTTGCTTGAGACCGGCGCGACATCCTTCATGTCGTTGTAATTAAAACTTTGTTTCCCCCAATCTTAATGAAATTGTTGTAATTAAAACTTTGTTTCCCCCAATCTTAATGAAATTGGCCAGCCTACTTTGGCCGTCCCGACAAAAAATAATCAATCAGAAATTCAGAGCCTATTTCTTGTCTGTTATAAGAAGATGGGATAAAAAATGAAATCAGATCCTCATCAGTCATCTGCATGCATGCTCCTCGTTTTATAACGGTGGAAGGGAGCTAAATCAAAATCTCCTATCATGAATCTTTTTTTTCTCTCAACAAAGACCATGTCATGCATGGCCATCATCTAAAAAAAGATTTTTCTATCATGAACTTTTTCCTCTCAAGAAAGATCATCATCAGATTTGGCCACCATCTAAAAAAAGATTTGTTCACAGACTATTGAGTCCATAACATGTTCTATTATCCAAAACAAATCCAAGGAGAGGCACACATATGACACATACAACATGCATGTCATGAATACATACCAAGATCAACAACATGGACAAACAGAAATCCTCTACAGATCACAGCACACAAAAAACCCTAGCAAACGAACAATATCCCTTCCGAGATCCAACGAATTTTCATCTAACCAACACCAAGACTAGACAGTTGATATACATGGCAGATCAAGAACAGAAATTCAGAAGATGGTGATCGGATCTTACCCTCCGCAGCCGCTGCCGCACTGGCAGCCGGATCCGCAGCCGCAGTTTCCTCCGCAGCACGACATCTTTCTTTCAAAGATCAACACGGATCGATCGAACTGGGCAGTGGGCACTGATCGCACAACACACGAGCACTCAGAAAATCTGAATATCACCTTGGGCACCTGAACCACACACAGGAAGGGGGGCCGAGAGGCCGAGAGGGTTGCTACTTATACAGAGGGAGGGAGGCCATCCGCCGTACACGTGGCGCGCATCGGGGGACCTGCCGTGACGTGGGAGTTGTGCGCCTTGGCCCATCGTGGATTTGGGGGTTGTGAACTGGTTTCTTCCCTTTTTATCAAACGATGTTAATCGGTATTTAAATCAATGAAGCCTTATATTGCATGGGGACAGCTCACTTTCAAAACTAATTTCACATATTGCATCGGATCACTTTCAAGACTAATCGAATATATGTGCAAAATATTTGTATTGAGTACTGGGAATGTCTATTGGTCATGCTAGCTGCTTATAGTTTGGGCATCCACAGCTCAAGATATTTACACGGAGGAGCCTACTGGACAAGGGCATGTTCAGAGACTCGTTGGATTTGAAATCTGCACAAGTTCTCAGAGACTGCTCAGCCTGAAACAATCTTGGAGATAGCATCACACTATGGCTGCAATTGAGGCAGCACTTGCACCCACCGTTCTCAGCTCCAGCAGTGGCAAATTGATGTTAGTCTTAACCTTGAGTAAGGCAACTTCACTTGAAGGGATATCTAGTTTTCGGCAGTGCTGACCAAGTTCTCAATTTTTGCATTTAGATCAAGCTGATGAATTCAAGCTATAATTTCGGTAAACGGTGTTGCTTCCTGCTGTTAGGTCTGCACCAAGCTGCATTTACCACTGGACTGCACTTTGAGTACCACTTGTTACCACAGAAATTCAATTGTTTCCTGTAACATTTCAGGTACACTAGTACCACCGTTTCCTTGGCGCGCGCCACTCTTGACTCTACCACTGCAAGAAGAGCAACAATATGAAGGATATTTTGATTGGGAGTAGTGAAAAATCATCACTATAGCCAGAGTTTCAAAACATGTACCACGGATAACAAACCATAGTACAAACAGATCCCGGAAAGGAAACCATTGAGACTAACAAATGTAGTTTTTCTCACCTGCCTAATTATAGAGAGTTTCATCTGGAAAGATATCCCTGCCATCTGCACCAACTGTAACAACATCGACTGCAAGTTGTTGGTCTTCTAGGAGGCACATTCTGAATTGCTTTGCATTCTGGCAATCAACCATGTGGAGTCTCTTTAGTGAGATTAGATTCTCTGCCTGATCCAGCGCTGGACAGTCCTGTGCAAACAAGTCCTGCAGAATACAGAGATTGGAAATTCTCCTCAAACACCTGTTATTCTTGACCTTGAGCCATAACACTGAAGGAAGGTTGTCAATTTCATGCAGCGTGTGAGCACCTTCAATGTGGATTCTTCTTAAGTTAGCAATCCTATGCAAGTCTTCAGGGAGAGCCCTTAGTTTTGGGCAGCCATTAAGAAACAGACGCTTAAGGCAAGGCATCAGAACGAGCTGTTCAGATCTACCACGCAAATTCCCTGTGTTAAGAGACCAACTTTCCAAATTGCTCATATCAATGATGTGAAGCAATTTGAGCTTTGGGAAAATAGTTATATGCGTGGCACTGCTGACGCCTTTTCCTAGGAGCTCTGAACCAATATTCACTACTGCATCTGCACATCTGATCTGAAGAATTAGTAGTTCTGGCATCTGACCTGCTGGTGGAAGCTCAGAGCATGAAATGCACTCGTTGAGGTACATATGTCCCAAATTTGGCATCTTATACTCTGGTTCTGAGCACAACCAATCTGGGAACCTTACACCAGGAAACCCCTCAAAAAATAAATAAATTAGGCTTGATGATGGACTTAGCATCTCATAGACTTGTTGAATTCTCTCAATCTCGTTCATCTGGTAGTGGGTAATATCATGAGTATTAGCTCCCATTGTGCAGCGAAACCACAGTTCTCGAAGACGAAGACTGTTCCTGAGTACAAATGCACCCCCTGGCGTTGCTTTTTCTAGCTTTACAATCCGGAGACGTTGGATGTTGGGGAGACATTGCAGTTCATCTAGCCTGAATCCAGATGCACTCTCGAAAACTCCTTTAAGGTTGTAGAGTTTCTGAAACTTCGCGATCCCTTTTGGAACATGGTCGATTCCAGTTTGTTCTAGCTCAAGGAAACTTATGTTGGACAGTCTCATCAAACTAGCTGGCAGGCTATCCAAATGTCTGCAACAGTGCAAAGAAAGGTATTCAAGGCTGGTAAGATTTCCTATGGATTCAGGGAGTTTTTTGATTTTTGTATAGCTTAGATCTAGCAACCTCAGTAGCAACAAGTTTCCCACCGACTCTGGTATGACTTGGATGCTTGTTCCACTGAGAACTAAGACACGAATATGCTTGAGCTCTCTGAAAATGTCCTTATTAATTGTCTTAAAGTTCTTGTTATTAAAAATTAGGAGGCTCCTCAAGCACTTCAGCTCTTCTATAGCAGGTATTTCTTTTACATCATTGCTTATTACTAAGTGACGTAGATTCAGTAAGGTTTTGCTATTTTCCATATTCATGAATAAGGAATGATCCTTTGTCAAAAATTGTCCAAGTGACCTCAAAAGATCATGCATCGTTGACATCCATTTGTCAACAAACTCTGGTTTTGGCTGCAGAAGATTCATTCTAATTAGCTCATGGTAGTATTCTTCTGCGGCTTCATGTATTGAGTACCCATGCATTTTCGTCACAAAGCCTTCAGCGACCCACCAGTAAGCGACAGCATCACGATGGATCCCAAAATTTGATGGTAACAAAGCACACCAGAGAAAGAATTGCTTAAGTTCAGGAGGTAAGTTGCTGTAGCTTAAGTACAGAGGACCTCCTAGTTCTTTGGGAAGTCCATGAATAGACCATTTGCTATCTCGGATGCTCTCCCATTCTGCCTTTGTTTTCTTACTAGATAGGACACCTGCAACAACTTTGATGGCAAGAGGAAGGCCATCACACTTTTTGACAATTTGATACCCAACACCACTGAATTCTCTTCTTTGCTCGTATGGCCCTAATGACATCTTCATCAGCAGTTCTAGGCCATCGTAATCATTCATTTTGTTTACCCTGTGGGTATAAGTTGCATGCATTTCGACCAAAACATCCAGGTTTCTTGAGGTCACAAGGATACGAGAATTCAAGCCTCTCTCGGAAGGCGATCGAAGAAGATCAATCCATACATCAGATTTCCAAACATCATCCAGCACAAGAAAAACACTCTTCCCTCTAATAGTGTCCACTAGAAGCGGTAGAAGCTCAGTCTTAGTCTCCAGCTGATCACAAATTCCTCCAGCCATTCTTATTGCCTGTTTTAACAAACTGGTCTCTGTGTAATTCTGAGAAATACACAACCATATATGAACTTGGAATTTCTCCCTTATCCTCTGTTCATTGTATATCTTTTGAGCTAATGTTGTCTTACCGATGCCTCCCATCCCCTGGATCCCAAAAACAGTTGACCTGTTGTCATTGTAGTTACTAACAATCATTTTGACCATGTCATCAACAGCCCTTCTGATATCTTCTCCAACAACCTCAAGTTCATCTACAGGAGATGTCTGACTTCTGTCAACAATTGTTATCTGGACTTGTTGCCGGTTGGTTCTCTCGAAGCCAAACATCTCTTTGTTCATTTTAATTTCTTCAAACTTTTCATTTATATTATCGATTCTTTTGGCAATCCTGTGATCAAATGAAAACTTTGCAAAGCTAGAGAACAAGGGCTGATTGCAACATACCGGCCTTGGTGGCAGCAAAAACTTCTGTGAATGAACCATGAAAAGATCCACGATGTCATCGACATCAAACATAACATTTCTCATGTTCTTCCACCATGAATCTATCCCTGGATCCTCCATGGCCAGAGCCTCAGCATCCTCACGAACAGCGTTGAAGAATTCCAGATTTTTCTTCAGGCTCTCAATACCCCTTTTCACACTTAATGTCATGATAACCTCATCCTCAATAAGCTGACCCAGCTTTTCCAAGAATTTCCAAGCGAGAGCATCCAAAACTGTGCCCATAGTGCTAGAACCGGGATTCCCGCTGGATCTCTCCAATGGGAGATGCTTGAAACTGCAGATCCCAGAACAGATATCTCACAGAGCTGCAGATCACTTAAATACGGAAGATGGAAAGAGATATTGAAGCAGTGTGGCTAAAGCCTGATGAGAACGGAGAGGGCAATGCAGATTGCAGAGGAGAGCTGTTATAGATTCTCCTCCCTTTCTTGCCACCAACTGCCTTTGTCCCAACAGACATTGACATTCTCTATTGCAAAACGTCTGAAAAACCTGAAAAAAAAATTAAAATAGTATGAAAGTACTTTTTGAGGCAGAATCTGCCCATAAAGATTTTTGTATTCAAATCTAAATGTTTCAACGATGATGCAATGTGAAAAAGGGCAAGTAGTGTTACAAAATTGCAAGGCGATTCAAGTTGAAAGCTCTTCCAGGCTGTGTATTCTTTTCCTTTCATCCCCTTGACAATAATAATTTGATTTTATTGCAGCAAAGGAGCCACTTGGTGCTTTACTTTCTTTTCCTGTTTACCACCTAAGAAGCCTGGAAGCACTGGAGCAGAGTTCTCTTTTTTTCAGGAATATGCAACAAAAAAAATATATTTATATTGGCATTAAGGTTGGGTAAAACAAGGTTCAGAGAAAATGATACATTAGATCACCAGAGTGCAGACAGCAGACCGAAGGAAAAAATAGAGTCAAACAGGTGCTGGCCGGTGCTGGGCATGCAACCGCACGCAGGAATCTACTGGGCATTTCGTCAAACAGCTCATCTGCGCCCCAACCATTTGTTGCAAAGTCCAAGTTTCAGAGCTTAGAGAAAACATCGAAAGGAACTCATCCCATTCGCATCAGTCGCGTTGCACATAATCAAGTCAGAAAAGAAAAAAAATATGATGGTTGATTACCTACGCAAGAAAGAGAGATGCTTCTCCTAGCGAAACCAAAGACGGCGACAACGACCCACAAGCAAAGATAAGCAGGGCCTAGGTCGAACTGAGCCTGGATCAGGATCACATCGCATAACTCCAGTATAAACAAAGAGCAAATTCTCTGATTCATCTCGCACGTAACGTAACGTAACGAATGGGGCGCTCGGGGAGAGCGATGCGCGAATGGCGTTCGATGAAATGCCCCTCCAAGTTCAACAGGCGCGTCCAGGCCAATCGATTTTGTTTTACTTTCTGAATTGGGCCCTGTCGCGAAGACTGCGACCTGAATTGGGCCGTAAGCCCGTAACCTAAGCTCTACGCCGAAGGAAAGCCCAAACTCTAAAAACTCCTCCACCACCGCGCGGCGGGAAACCCGCTCCTCCCCACTCCGTTCCCGCGCACATTTTTTCGGCATCCCACCCGTCGATTTTTTCCGGCATCCAACGTCGTACATCCCTCCACGTCATCGATCCGCGCCGCGTGCCTTCCACCAATCAGGGCGCACGTCCCCTCCTCTACAAAACCATCTTCCCCCGTCTCCTTTCCCCACGCCGCAATCTCGCGAATCCCACCGCTTCCCTTTCCTCTCCTCTCCTCTCCCCGGGAAGAAGACAGCAGCGGCATCCATGGCGCCCAAGGCAGAGAAGAAGCCGGCCGCGAAGAAGCCCGCGGAGGAGGAGCCCGCGGCGGAGAAGGCCGAGAAGGCCCCCGCGGGGAAGAAGCCCAAGGCGGAGAAGCGTCTCCCCGCCGGCAAGGCCGAGAAGGGCAGCGGCGAGGGGAGGAAGGCGGGGCGGAAGAAGGCGAAGAAGAGCGTCGAGACCTACAAGATCTACATCTTCAAGGTGCTCAAGCAGGTCCACCCCGATATCGGCATCTCCTCCAAGGCCATGTCCATCATGAACTCCTTCATCAACGACATCTTCGAGAAGCTCGCCGGGGAGTCCGCCAAGCTCGCCCGCTACAACAAGAAGCCCACCATCACCTCCCGCGAGATCCAGACCTCCGTCCGCCTCGTCCTCCCCGGCGAGCTCGCCAAGCACGCCGTCTCCGAGGGCACCAAGGCCGTCACCAAATTCACCTCCGCTTAGGCTTCACCCCTGCATCTATCTATGTGTTAGTTTTAGTGCTATCGATGATTGGAAAATGGATGTTAGATCGTTAGTTTGGTAGTCAGATGTCAGTGATCTGGAACAGTAGCTCTGATTTTAAACCATGTGAATGTGATTCCTGGGTATGTGATGTTTGACCGCCTTGTGTCTGCTGGTCAACGAGTGATAACTAGATCTAATTTTTGTGGAACTATTTACATGGTTGCTACTTGCATTCTGTTCAACTGTTGTAAATTCCTCTGTCACTCGTTGGAGTTTTATTCTCTGGAGCATGTGTGGAATTGCCTGGGCATGCTTTTGGGAAACTATAGTCTGTAGTCCTATGTTATGTTTGGTTAATTGGTTGCCCTGAGCTTGTTGGAATTAATCTATGTATAATTTTGTGCAATTACATCCTGTGAGTATGTTGCTATTTGCATTGTCTTGCAAACTCCTTTGTATGCCACAGGAATTTAATTTCTGGAGCATGGATGTTTGGAGTTTGATACTGTTCAAGTGCTTATTGGCCCATGTAGTTTATAAGTACGAGTAGGTTTCATCTAAGGACACTTTCTAAAAGAAGAGTTGTGAATTGGTTAGTATATAGTATGACAACTTGGCCATCACCGTTCTATTTTAGCTGATAACTTTGACATCTGAAGTAAGTTTTGCTTTACCTTAGTACTGTACTGTTTCAACTTTCAAAGAAGTTTAATTGGAAATAGTAACTGAAACACCGGAACCGTAAGTATTTTGCTTGCTATTGCAGGATGCTGCTACACTAGCCTGTTTCCTCATTTATGTTCCGAAGGTCTAATGAAGGTTCTCTCTTTGTTCTTGATTAGCTTGTAAGCTAACTGGCAAGCATGAGGTATGCACTAAACTGCTGCATCTTCTATCAAAGCTTGCTGTTGGAGTTGTTGCTCTGCAGGATATGCCATGTGTGAAGATGATGACCAAACTCTTGTGGACTCTAGAATCTTATAATGTTATCCTTTGGTTCTTTGTCCAAACTCTTGTGGACTCTAGAATTTTTATTGGTATTGTTTAATTTTGCATTACAGTAGTAGCCAGATAATATGGTGTTTCATTATTAAAATTTATTAAAGGAAACAATTTTAACCAACTTACTAAACTATCACATGTTCAATTTGTGAGTATCTCATGCAAAAGTAATTTATTGACCTCACAGTGCTTACACTCTAAACAAAGTTACTAAACTTTTACTTTTGGTAATATAAGTACTATTAGATTTATTGTTGTAATAAAATTACTTGCTCATATTGCTATTGCTTAAGTGCTACTTCGCAGTTTGTATAGGAAAGCTAAAAGGATAGCAGAAGAACTTGAGAATGTCCATTAACTACCTGAAACACATTATCTATGTTGTATGTGTAAAATATCTATATATTTATAAAAAATCATTTTAGGAACAATTTCTACAAATATGATAATATAAAATTCAACTTATATTTTAAAAAATATGCATTCTAGATTTTCTCTATTTTAAACTTATGCTTCTTTCTACAATGCAAGTGATCTAGGAATTACTACTACAACATAGTGTATCTTCTAGTTTTTACAACAATATGTTGACACGCCAATCCACTACGCCATTGTTATTGAATGAGAACTTCTTATGTTGAAAGACATGATTCACTCTTTGTGGAAAAGTAAAAAACTATGTATCAATATTGAAAATTTCTTGGGATCCCCCAGTACATGCCCCTTGGGCCTATTTATAGGCTTAGTGCAGGCTCATGTGCCCTAGGGTTACTAAGTACATGGGAATTTACATGATTACCCTTACAATAGGGACATTTATGAGGATAATTATAGACAATTTATCCTTGGGCCTCTTCTTGGGCCGCCAAGTGGGCCTCCATTGGTTGGTTGGCCCCCTCGGGCCTTGAATCCCTCGGCTTGGGGGCGAAGGTCTTCGGCTTCGCTCGACGATTTGCCCAGAGCCTCTGTCTTTGTGACATTTGGCGTTTTGCTGTCGTGCTTCGTCCTAGCGATTGTAGACTTGTTTCGGCAGGCTCGGTTGAAGGCCCTCGTGACATGCCTCCAACAGCCATGCTACGCACCATATCAATTTTTAAGTACAGGAACAATCATTCATTCATATGATGCATAAGAAATTAACAGTTATGTGACTTTGAAGACCATCAAGAGCTTGATCGGGATCTGAGCCAATAAAAGCATTGTGGACATCTAAAAGCTTGAGGCAAAAATTTTGGCCAACCTAAAAGCAGTTCATATGTTTGATCAAGTTTAGGAATGTACCTTGAGTGCTTTATGTTTAGCGATGCATTGATAAAATAATAAAGATCAGGCATAGGGGTGTAAGTGGGTGTTAACGAAAAATCCGCGCTTTGCTAATGGTGCCAGAATTGTATTGGCGCGAACTAAGTCGACGAACATAACGGCCCTAGGAGATCTGTTTAGCTCTAGTGCAGGTCCAAAGCTTGTAGAGATGCGGGCATGCCAGTCAGTTTGATCCTGCAACTAACTAGATATATAAATATGTTGATCACCAAAGAGCTGATCGGCTGACGAGTCGATCGAGCGATACTAGCCGATGCCGATAGCAACCGATGTCGATAGAGTTTTGAGCAATCGACTATATGTCCAATGTAGAGTCTGATACTTGAGTAAATAATGATATAAAGATAATTGGCTGATGATAATGTAATAAAACAACAATATAATCCAATAAAAACCAATCGGCTAACAATGATATGATAGAATAAGTGACCCGATGGTTAAAGCATACATCGGCTAGTGGTATGATGTCATTAATTAAATCCAAATGATTAGATAAACAGTGAAATCTTTGTTACAATCTGCTAAAAACAACTTGTATGCAATCTTTGTAAGCCGATACAACGTCTAGATAACTCATTGGCTGAATCCTCGATGAAACCCTTATTATAATCAAAGACAGGTTAGCGTTTAGGATTCTAAGCACGACTAGGGATGATGCATCGCAAAGTATGCAAAGAAACATAAAGTCTAAACAATCAAGCCTTTGACTAATTTTCAGGGTGGTGGATATCTTAGTTAATCTAATCTAGCAAGATACTTTAGCCGATACCAGTATAAAACCTAAAACGAATCTCAGCCGATATGATCAAATTAAGATGCTAAATTAGATTAACTAAGATATATGATAAATAGGTAGGCAAACATATCAACCGAACCAGAGCAATCCAAGAGGTCAAAGCTATGCAGCCTTGAACCACGCCAATGTAGCCAATACAATTGCCAGAGCTAGCAGAACGTAGTACTTACCCCGTCGGATGATAAGTAAAAACCTTGGTAAAGAGGGTGGCGATGCGCCGAAAGTAATTGTATTGATCGAGAGATAGTTTACAATGTCTCTGGGTGTACATATTTATACCCATGGGTAGATACTAGTCCTTGTTGGACAAGAAAAAAACATTCCTAAAGATAAAAGGAAAACATAATGTCCTTATCGGACACTAAACACATTTTTCTAAAGATAAAAGGAAACTAACAGACTCTTTCTAATTAATAGATAACTTGCCATGATGCATCATCCTTAAACTCGGTCTTTTCTGGATAAGCTTAATTGAATATATTAATTTTCTTAATCGAATATAGCAAGATTCCGACTATTGGCGACTTGATAGTTTCCATCGGCCGATTATAGGACTCTGAAACCGATACTGACTCTAGGCCGATGATGACTTCGGGGCTTGCCAAATTTCACTGTTTACAGTGGGTCAACCGTGAACCCACTTATAGGTCAAAATAAGCAGGTTCGTGGCTTATTTTAGCCTATAAGTGGGTTTTGTGGGCTAGCCACTTACACCCCTAATCAGGCATGGACGAGAAGTTTATATCTCATTAAGAACCACATTTTCACTGTCACCTGCAGGGATACTATTGATCTGGGTAACAGAAAAAAAATCGCAGGACAAGATTATACAAGAAATATCAAATATATTGAAAATAACCGACAACTTCTTAATAAATAAGCTGATTGGACACCTTGAAAATCCTGAAGTACACAGAATCCCCATTCTCTGTGAACACGTATAGATCTGAAGTTGTTGACTCATGTTCTTGTAGTGGAGAAAACATCTGTTTAATAATGTCACATATGGCATTTATATCCGCGCTGAAGGCTGAACCAAACAAAAATAAGCATTAAACACAATAAGTTCTTACCATCATTAGCATATCCTTCACAAGAGCCCAAGTTTCATCACCAACAAAATTGGATGAAAATCAAAGTAAAGGATTTGTTACTTTCAACTCTATACTTTCATCTAGGAATGCTGCAAAAAAAAATTATTATATAAATATCTTCAAGTAAAAAATCATCATAATTATCAATATCATAATTAATATTACCAATTGGATAATATAAGTGTATTTGGGTTTTATGAAACGTTTTGCAACAATATCGGGTGTTCTTTGAAACAAATTACAAAACCTGGGATTTTGAGTGAGGAATGCTCCAAACTTAGGGTTTTGAAAATTTTACTCTTATTTATTTTTTCTGTAATTACTATTATTTAAAATTGGCAAAAAAAAATTACCTGGATTTATAAGAAATGATATGTGAATTTCTTTCAATGTATTGAACATATGGCAAATCATCTTCTGATCACCTTCTGCCTACTGCCATAAGAAAAAAAAGATTACCTTAGATGAATGAAAATAATATTACGCGTGTACACAAAATATACACATTATTCATTATACTTCAAAGAAGAGAAAAAAGGTTGCATCTGCTCCATTTTTAGAAAGACGTTGACAAATGTATGCCTTTCCTTGACCATCATAAGGTAGAAGAAATGAAATGTCATTCTAGATATCAACTGAAATTGCATTTTCTCTATTTTAATCGGGTTCGCCCTGGGCGTGTAGTCATTCCCAGGGCATGTGCAGCTGAAGCTGTTGTTGTAGCTGTAAATCTTGTAAAGTTTGAACTTTCTCCCCTACTTAAATAAACTTCGACCGGCTTTCGCACTGGTCCAGCGAAAAAAAATGTAATTGCATTTTCATACATATATATTTGTGTGTATGTGTTCTGAAAGAACCTTCAAATGAGGTTAAGCGTATAAGCGACAACTACATTCAATCCACTAGGCCTTAATTATATCTACTTCGGTTGATTATACCGATACGAAGAGTTTGGTTTCCCTCAATCCTAATAACATTAGATTTGCCTCCTTGGTTCATACCAGCAAAAGAAAGCAGATAATCGAATTTTGATCCAATTTTTGCATATGAATTTAATCCACTCTAACATCCTCTCAAAAAGTGAACTCTAATATAATTACCCCCTTCTCTTCCTTTACTTTTTTCCCCCTTGACTCCTATTGTTGTATTTGAATCCTATCTTTCTATAAAGTTAAAGCCCACTACATCTTAAAGCTCAACATGCAAAGATGCTATATCATCACTAACATTTACTACATCTCAAATCTCATGTAGGCATGCTAATTTATTAAGTTTTAGAGCTTTAAAATGCAAGCATGTTAATTAAATTATTATCCCACATAATCCACATAATATTTCAATATACCTCTCCTTCACTTTTTATAATATCCTATATGCTTATATAGTTAATTAAAATTTTAGAGCTTAAAAAAATCCAAGCATGTTAAATCATCATTTCACATAATTCTCAAAATATTTCAATATATCTCTCCATCATTTTGTATAATATCTATATACCAATACAATTCATTCTCACATAGTTAATGTTATTTCTTTCTTCTTTCATTAAGCTATATCACCTCAATTGTTTCTAACGCTCAAATGATTAATTTATGGTTGGAATTATCTTCCTCATTTTTTTCTTTCATAAAGCCACATCATATTACTTTTAAATTTGGGTCATCATTCTGTATACTATTTAAATTATTATAAACCACATCAACTTATGCAAGTTTCTATCATCTAGCTATCTTACACATTATTTATATTTCTTATTATCATACCAAACTCCCGCAGCAACGCGCGGGGTTTCATCTAGTTATATTATATTTTACTGCCATACCTGTGCCTTCTCTTTCTTACTGCACTGAATATATGAAATTGAAATTGAGGCCACAGGAAGTTTGTATGGCTGAATATGAGGCACTTCCAAGGGTTCATCACCCTTGTCTCAAGAGTTCAATTTAAGTACAAGCAAAACCCACTATTTAAGCCACTAAAAGAAAAAAACAGAATTTAAATGGCACAATCGGGGTAAGAGGATTATTGGTTATGTCACCCCACATAACTGAAACAGATGTACTTCGATCGTTGTTTATCACACCCAGTTCTTGCATATTCCAAGTTTAACATGTTGATCGATCTGAAGTCCTGAAAAGTATTTGTATTGAGTACTGGGAACGTCTATTGGTCATGCTGTTCAAGATATTTACATGGAGGAGCCCAACGGACAAGAACATGTTCAAAAACTCGTTGGATTTGAAATCTGCACAAGCTCTCAGAGGCTGCTCAGCCTGAATCAGTCTTGGAGATAGCATCACACTATGCTGCAATCGAGGCAGCATTTACACCCACCGTTCTTACCTCCAGCAGTGGCAAATTGATGTTAGTCTTAACCTTGAGTCAGGCAACTTCACCTGAAGGGATATCTAGTTTTCGACAGTGCTGACCAAGTTTCCAAATTTTTGCATTTATATTAAGCTGATGAATTCAAGCTATAATCTCGGTAAACGATGTTGCTTCCTTCTGTTAGGACTGCACCAAGCTGCATTTACCACTGGACTGCATTTTGAATACCATTGGCTACCACTTACCACAGAAATTGAATTGTTTTCCTGTAACATTTCAGGTGCACTAGTATCACCATTTCCTTAAGTGCGCTCCACTCTAGTACTGCAAGAAGAGTGACAAAATGATTAAATGAAGGATATTTTGATTGTAAATAGTTTAAATTATGATGTCTCGGTGCAATAGCCAGAATTACAAAAACAAAAGATAAACCAAACCATAGTACAAACAGAATCAAAGGAAAAGATCGAGACTAACAAATAAATGTAGTAGAACTTCCTCTAATAATTTGTAGAGTAAATTGCTCACCTGCCTAATTATAGAGAGATTCATCTGGAAAGATATCCCTGCCATCTGCACCAACTGTAACAACATGGACGGCAAGTTGTTGGTCTTCCAGGAGGCTCATCCTGAATTGCTTCGCGTTGTGGCAATCGACCATGTAGAGTCTCTTTAGTGAGATTAGATTCTCTGCCTGATACAGCGCTGGACAGTCCTGCGCAAGCAAGTCCTTTAGATTACAGAGATTGGAAATTCTCCTCAAACACCTGTTGTTCTTGACCTTGAGCCATAACACTGAAGGAAGGTTGTCAACTTCTTGCAGCGTGTGAGCACCTTCGATATGGATTCTTCTTAAGTTAGCAATCCTATGCAAGTCTTCAGGGAGAGCCCTTAGTTTTGGGCAGTCGTTAAGAAACAAACGCTTAAGGCAAGGCATCAGAACAAGCTGTTCAGATTTGCCACACAAATTCCATGTGTTGAGAGACCAACTTTCCAAATTGCTCATGTTAGTGATGAGAAGCAATTCGAGTTTTGGAAAAATAGTTATATGCTTTGCGCTATTGACGCCTTTCCCTAGCAGCTCTGCACCCATATTCACTATTGCATCTGCGCCTTTAATCTTAAAAACTAGCAGTTCTGGCATCTGGCCTGCTGGTGGAAGCACTGAACATGAAGTGCAGTCGTTGAGGTGCATATGACCCAAATTTGGCATCTTACGCTCTGGTTCTGAGCACAACCAATCTGGGAACCTTACACCAGGGAACCCGACAAGAAATATATACAGTAAGCTTGGCGATGGAATTAGCAGTTCGTAGACTTGCTGAATTCTCTCAATCTCGTTGGTCTGATAATAAGTTTTATCATGACCTCCGATTGTGCAACCGAGCCACAATTCTCGAAGATGAAGACAGTTCTTGAGTACAAATGAACCCCCTGGTGCTGCTTTTTCTAGCTTCACAATCCGGAGACGTTGGATATTGGAGAGACATTGGAGTTCATCTAGTCTGAATCCAGTTCCACTGTCAAAAACTCCTCTAAGGTTGTAGAGTTGCTGCAACTTTGCAACTCCTTTTGGAACATGGTCGATTGCAGTCTGTTCTAGCTCTAGGAAACTTATGTTCGACAGTCTCATTAAACTATCTGGCAGGCTATCCAAATGTATGCAACCATGCAAAGAAAGGTATTCAAGGCTGGTAAGTTTTCCTATGGATTCTGGGAGTTTCTGAATTTTTGTATAGCTTAGATCTAGAAGCCTCAGTAACAAGAAGTTTCCCACTGACTCTGGTATGATTTGGATGCTTGTTCCACTGAGAACTAAGACACGGATATGCTTGAGTTCTCTGAAAATGTCCTTATTAATTTTCATGAAGTTTTTGTTATCAAAAACTAGGAGGCTCCTCAAGCACTTTTGCTTTTCTATAGCAGGTATTTCTTCTACATCATTGCTGATACATAAGTGGCGTAGATTTGGTAAGGCTTTGCTATATTCCATGTTCATGAATATGGAGTGATCCTTTGTCAAAAATTGACCAAGTGACCTCAATAGATCATGCATTGTTGACTCGCCTTTGTCTACAAACTCTGGTCGTGGCTGCAGAAGATTCCTTCTGATTAGCTCATGGTAGTACTCTTCAGCAACCTCATGTATTGAGTACCCATGCACTTCCGTCACGAAACCTTCAGCAACCCACCAGTAAGCGACAGCATCACGACGTATCACAAAATTTGACGGCAACAAAGCACACCAGAGAAAGCATTGTTTAAGTTCAGGGGGTAAGTTGCTGTAGCTTAAGTACAGAGGGCCTCCTAGTTCTCTGGGAAGTCCATGAATGGACCACTTGCTATCTCGGATACTCTCCCATTCTGCCCTTGTTCTTTTAGTAGATAGAACACCTGCAACAACTTTGATGGCAAGAGGAAGGCCATCACACTTTTTGACAATTTGATATCCAACACCACTGAATTCTCTGCTTTGCTCGTATGGCCCTAATGACATCTTCATCAGCAGTTCTAGGCCATCGCAATCATTCATTTTGTTTACCTTGTGGGTATAAGTTGCATGCATTTCAACCAAAACATCCAGGTTTCTTGAGGTCACAAGGATATGAGAATTCAAACCTCTCAAGAAAGGCAAACGAAGAAGATCAATCCATACATCAGATTTCCAAACATCATCCAGCACAAGAAAAACACTCTTCCCTCTAATAGTGTCCACTAGAAGCGGTAGAAGCTCAGTCTTAGTCTCCAGCTGATCACAAATTCCTCCAGCCATTCTGATTGCCTGTTTTAACAAACTGGTCTCTGTGTAATTCTGAGAAATGCACAACCATATATGAACTTGGAATTTCTCCCTTATCCTCTGTTCATTGTATATCTTTTGAGCTAATGTTGTCTTACCGATGCCTCCCATCCCCTGGATCCCAAAAACAGTTGACCTGCTTTCATTGTAGTTACTACTAACAATCATTTTGACGATGTCATCAATAGCCCTTCTGATATCTTCTCCAACCACCTCAAGTTCATCTACAGGAGATGTCTGACTTCTGTCAACAATTGTTATCTGGATTTGTTGCCCGTTGGTTCTCTCCAAGCCAAACATCTCTTTGTTCATTTTAATTTCTTCAAACTTTTCATTTATATTATCAATTCTTTTGGCAATCATGTGATCAAATGAAAACTTTGCAAAGCTAGAGAACAAGGGCTGATTGCAACATACCGGCCTTGGTGGCAGCAAGAGCTTCTGTGAATGAACCATGAAAAGATCTACGATGTCATCGACATCAAACATAACATCTCTCATGTTCTTCCACCATGAATCTATCCCTGGATCCTCCATGGCCAGAGCCTCAGCATCCTCATGAACAGCGTTGAAGAATTCCAGATTTTTCTTCAGGCTCTCAATACCCCTTTTCACACTTAATGTCATGATAACCTCATCCTCAATAAGTTGACCCAGCTTTTCCAAGAATTTCCAAGCGAGAGCATCCAAAACTGTGCCCATAGTGCTAGAACCTACGGATTCCCACTGGATCTCTCCTATGGGAGATGCTTGAAACTGCAGATCCCAGAAGAGATATCTCACAGAGCTGCTGAGTGCCGATCACTTAAATACGGAAGATGGAAAGAGATATTGAAGCAGTGTGGCTAAAACCTGATGAGAACAGAGAGGGCAATGCAGATTGCAGAAGAGAGCTGTTATAGATTCTCCTCCCTTTCTTGCCACCAACTGCCTTTGTCACAATGGACATTGACATTCTCTATTGCAAAACGTCTGAAAAACCTGACAAAATTAAAACAGTATGAAAGCACTTTTTGAGGCAAAATCTACCCACAATGATTTTTGTATTAAAATCCAAATGTTTCAACGATGATGCAATGTGAAAAGGACAAGTAGTGTTACACAATTGCAAGGGGATTCAAGTTGAAAGCTCTTCCAGGCTGTGTATTCTTTTCCTTTCATCCACTTGCTAATAATAATTTGATTTCATTGCAGCAATGGCGCCACTTGGTGCTTTACTTTCTTTGCCTGTTTACCACCTAAGAAACCAGGAAGGCCATGGTGCTTCTCTACCTGCACTAGCAAGAAGACCCAAAGAAGTGTACTTTTTAAGCGAATTTAGCTGACTGTTACCAGCAGATTTTGCATCAACCAATACAGGAATCCTATGCCAAAGCCTTTATAAGTCTAGTTAAAAGCACCGGAGCAGAGTTCTCCTTTTTTCAGGAATATGCAGAAAATCTTTTGCAGAGTTCAGAGAAAACAAGGTTCTCTGAAACAAGGTTAAGAGAAAACAGGAATATGCAGAGTTCTCTTTATGCATCTTTGCATTAAGATTGGGTAAAACAAGGTTAAGAGAAAATGGTACATTAGATCACCAGAGAGCAGACACCATACTAAAGGAAAAATAGAGTCAAACCGCCGCTGGGCATGCAACGCACGCAGGAATCTCCTGGGCATTTCGTCAAACAGCTCATCTGCACCCGAACCATTTGTTGCAAAAGTCCAAGTTTCAGAGCTTATATAGAAAAAACATCGAAAGGAACACATCCCATTCGCATCACTCGGTGTTGCACATAATCAAGACACAAAAGAAAAATTAAGATAGTTGATTACCTACGCAAGAAAGAGAGATGCTTCTCCTAGCGTAACCAAAGACGGCGACAACGACCCACAAGCAAAGATAAGCAGGGGCTAGGTCGAACTGAGCCTGGATCAGGATCACATCGTATAACTCCAGTATAAACAAAAGCAAATTCTCCGGTTGTGTTTGTACCTGACAAGTTGATTCATCTCGCACGTAACGTAACGTAACGAATGCGGTTCGCTCGGGGAGAGCGATGCGCGAATGGTGTTCGATGAAATGCCCCCCACCGCACCCCCCCCCCCCCCCCCCAAGTCCAACAGGCTCGTCCAGGCCAATCGATTTTGTTTTCCTTTCTGAATTGGGCCCTGTCGCGAAGCCTGCCACCTGAATTGGGCCGTAAGCCCGTAACCTAAGCTCTACGCCGAAGGAAAGCCCAAACTCTAAAAACTCCTCCACCACCGCGCGGCGGGAAACCCGCTCCTCCCCCCTCCTCCGTTCCCGCGCACATTTTTTCGGCATCCCACCCGCCGATTTTTTTCCGGCATCCAACGTCGCACATCCATCCACGTCATCGATCCGCGCCGCGTGCCTTCCACCAATCAGGGCGCACGTCCCCTCCTCTACAAAACCATCTCCCCACGTCTCCTCCTTTCCCCACGCCGCAATCTCGCGAATCCCACCGCTTCCGTTTCCTCTCCTCTCCCCGAGAAGAAGAGAGCAGCGGCAGCCATGGCGCCCAAGGCGGAGAAGAAGCCGGCCGCGAAGAAGCCCGCGGAGGAGGAGCCCGCAGCGGAGAAGGCCGAGAAGGCCCCCGCGGGGAAGAAGCCCAAGGCGGAGAAGCGTCTCCCCGCCGGCAAGGCCGAGAAGGGCAGCGGCGAGGGGAAGAAGGCGGGGAGGAAGAAGGCGAAGAAGAGCGTCGAGACCTACAAGATCTACATCTTCAAGGTGCTCAAGCAGGTTCACCCCGACATCGGCATCTCCTCCAAGGCCATGTCCATCATGAACTCCTTCATCAATGACATCTTCGAGAAGCTCGCCGGAGAGTCCGCCAAGCTCGCCCGCTACAACAAGAAGCCCACCATCACCTCCCGGGAGATCCAGACCTCCGTCCGCCTCGTCCTCCCCGGCGAGCTCGCCAAGCACGCCGTCTCTGAGGGCACCAAGGCCGTCACTAAATTCACCTCCGCTTAGGCTTCACCCCTGCATCTATCTATTGCTATTGCTAATAGTTGTAGTTTGATCTGTTTGTGTTAGTTTTAGTGCTATCGATGATTGGAAAATGGATGTTAGATCGTTAGCTTGGTAGTCAGATGTCAGTGATCTGGAACAGTAGCTCTGATTTTAAACCATGTGAATGTGATTCCTGGGTATGTGATGTTTGACCGCCCTGTGCCTGCTGGTCAACGAATGATAACTAGATCTAATTTTTGTGGAACTATTTACATGGTTGCTACTTGCATTCTGTTCAACTGTTGTAAATTCCTCTGTCACTCGTTGGAGTTTTATTCTCTGAAGCATGTGTGGAATTGCCTGGGCATGCTTTTGGGAAACTATAGTCTGTAGTCTTATGTTATGTTTGGTTGCCCTGAGCTTGTTGGAATTAATCTATCTAATTTTGCGCAATTACATCCTGTGAGTATGCTGTTGCCATTTGCATTGTCTTGCAAACTCCTTTGTATGCCACAGGAATTTGATTTCTGGAGCATGGATGTTTGGAGTGTGATACTGTGCTTATTGGCCCATGTAATTTATAAGTACGAGTAGGTTTCATCTAAGGGCACTTTCTGGATGGAGTCCAATATTTTTTTAGCCTGATGGCAATTTTGGTTTTTGATCTTTGCGTTTGAAACAAAAGAAGAGTTGTGTGAATTAGTTAGTACTATATAGTATGACAGCTTGGCCATCACCGTTCTATTTTAGCTGATAACTTTGACATCTGAAGTAAGTTTTGCTTTACCTTAGTACTGTACTGTTTCAACTTTCAAAGAAGTTTAATTGGAAATAGTAACTGAAACACCGTAAGTATTTTGCTTGCTATTTCAGGATGCTGCTACACTAGCCTGTTTCCTATAAATTTCCTTTGAATCAAAGGGGGCCTTATGTTCCGAAGGTCTAAGGAAGGCTCTCTCTTTGTTCTTGATTAGCTTGTAAGCTAACTGGCAAGCATGAGGTATGCACTACACTGCTGCATCTTTTATCAAAGCTTGCTGTTGGAGTTGTTGCTCTGCAGGATATGCCATGTGTGAAGATGATGACCAAACTCTTGTGGACTCTAGAATCTTATAATGTTATCCTTTGGTTCTTTGTCCAGTGAGGTTGTTTGAGGTGTATAATTTTTTTCGAAGGTTCTACTGCAAGAGCATCCTGAATTTCTGTTGGGCTTGTTTGCATTAAACATTCCATGCTGAATTGAAGTTAACTACATTCTGTTTACATCTTTACAGTGGCATGCATCTAAGCTTAATGAATATTAACTACGCAACCTTGTGTTCCTCCAATTATTCCTGGTACAATCATCAACACTGTCTACATATGTATCTTGCCCAACGTTTAGCTCACAGTGCTATGTTCTTCATGGCCGACCATCCAAGACCTGAGATATTCATCTCTGGTTGCATGCATCTCTGATACAGCTTCTGCCAACATCATTCGCTCTCTGGGTTGTTGCTTTGAGCATGATATGCCGAGCCTAAGAACAGACACCAAGCACTGTTGAATAATTCTTGTTTTTATGCTTTCATTTTTAACATCTGCAACATTTTCTTCTTCATGAAGCCAGATTGTTGGATCAGCTATGTCTAGGGGTTGGTGAAGAAAAGAAGCTGCAACAAACTTGTGCAGATCCATTGAATCCCTGAAAATGTCATCAGTAGGGCTCCTTCCAGTAAACATCTCAAGCAACAATATGCCTAAGCTGTAAGTATCGCCTGCTCTGGTTATTGTAGACCCTTCCCCATACTCTGCAATGTTTGCAATCAAAGTTAGTTGTCAACCGTACCCTCCACATGTAAAACAAATACAAAGTGCCCCAGTACTCCAATCCACACCCATGAGGGAGGAGGGGGAGGGATTATGGGAATTAATGTAAGAAGTTCAGTTTTTTTTTAAAAAAAAAAATCTACCTGGTGCAATATAACCAATGGAACCTCTGATTCCAATTGAGCTTTTCGAACTTTGAAGAGTTTTAGTACTACTTTTCGGGAGGATTCTTGATATGCCAAAATCTCCAACCTTAGCACTCTTGTCTTCTGATAGAAGAATATTACTAGGTTTCAGATCACAGTGTATGATTGGTGGCTGGCAGTGATTGTGAAGATAATCCAGTGCATCAAAGATATCAACAGCAATGTTGAGTCTCTGTGAAAGGCTGAGTGTATTGCTAGGAGTGAGATTGCTTGACTTGGGATGAATCCAACCATCCAAGCTACCATTGGGCATGAACTCAAAAACCAATGCCTTGAACTCTTGACCCTGTGGACCAATACTTGAGCAACAAGTGATGATCTTTATGAGACAACGGTGGCGTACTCTTCTCAGAGCCTCACATTCAGCCTCAAAGCTTTTTGAAGATCCTGATTGTTGAAGGTCGAACACTTTTACAGCAACAAGTGCACTCTCATCGTCTAAAGTACATCTAAAAACAGAACCATATCTTCCTTTGCCAAGCAGGTTGGCTTCTGAAAATTCATTACTTCCTCTTGATAATGCATAATATGAAACCCTTTGATACTGTTCCTCAATAACCAGGGATGTTGCTTGTCTATTTTGTCTTTGTTTGAACTTCCTTTGGTGTAACAGAATAACTACAATAGCAGAAACTAACACCAATATTGCACCCGTTGTTGGCAGAGCTATTGCAAGAGACTTCAGATGCTGGTTTCTGTTCTTGCTTACATTGAGAATGGGACATGGAGCCAAGTGAAGCTGGGGTATTCCACCGCACAAGTTATTCCCCACAACCGATGCAAAAGTCAGGTTTCTGAAAACACCCTTAACTGGAACTTCCCCTTGCAATTTGTTGAAGGACACATCTAATTGCCACAGCGTTGTCAAATTTTGTAGAGTTGCTGGGATTGGTCCTGAAAAATTGTTGTGTGCTAGAAACAGCTGTTGCAGATTGGGAATCCTAGCAATGGTGTTGGGGATCCTGCCAGATAACTTATTCATGGTTAGGTTCAGTATGGTGAGCCCTTTTAGGTTGCTCAGAGATTGTGGTATTCCTCCTTCAAATGAGTTCTCTTCTAGATAGAGGGCTTCCATCACTTCACAATTTCCTATACTGTCAGGTATTTGTCCAGATAGCTGGTTTCCGGATAGATCCATTCCATTTAGGTTAACCAAGCTACCAACTTCTGATGGAAGGGGTCCTGACAGAGAATTATATGACAAGTCCAAGAACCACGAGAGTGACTGCAGCTCAAAAATTTCTTTGGGGATCGAACCATTTAGATGGTTGTATGACAAATCTAGAACAAACAGTTTTTTTAGATCCCCAAGGCTTGGTGGGATTGGGCCTTCCAAATTGCAGTAGAATGCGTATATCCTATTCAAATTTGTAAGATTTCCAACAGATGCCGGTATGAGGCCTGACAGGCTGGTATTGTACAGGGAAATTTCAACCAAGTTTGTTAGCTTCCCGATGCTTTCAGGAATCACTCCAGATAATATGGAATTGAACCCCAGATCGAGAAAGCTCAAGCCTACCAGATTGCCAATGTCCTCAGGTATGCTCCCCGAGATATTGTTGTTATCTAAATTGAGCATTTGTAGCGTCGTTGACAGGTTCCCAATTGGCCTTGGCAGCTGCCCACTGAAAGAGTTGTTAGCGAGGACAAATTCTTGCAGCTGGCTGCAGTTTGACAGTGAAGTGGAAATTCCCAGCCCTTGGTGTTATCTGCCTCAAGTTGATTTCCTACCAAATACAAATACTGAAGATATTGCAACCTCCCCAAGTTGGGAGGCACAAATCCGGTGAATTTGTTGTCTGAGAGGTACAGATCCGTGAGTGTTGAAAGATTGGAGAGAGAATGAGGGATGACTCCTGTAAACCGGTTAACATCCAATCCAAACACTTGTATACCGGGAAGCATGCGACCAATGTCAGAAGGGATGCTGCCATGCAGCATGTTATTGCCAACCTGGAGCATCATCAGCGACGACAAATTGTACAGAGATAGCGGAAGTTCGCCGGAAAGGTTGTTTGCATTGAGAAAAAGATAACGCAGACCTGCGATATCGCCGAGGCCTGGAGGGATGAGACCCTCAAGCTTGTTGTAACTCAGAGACAAGTGCTGCAACGACGAAAGGTTGGCTAGCGAGGCCGGGATCTTCCCTGTTAAGCTGTTCTTCCTGAGCTGAAGCTTCTTGAGCCGTGGCAGCGTGTTACCGAGCTCCGGAGGAATTCGCCCGCCAAGCTGCGGGTTGGACTGGATCCGCAGGATTGTCAAGCTGATGCAGGAGCTCAGATTAGCAGGGATCACACCTGAGATGGAGTTGTGGTCCATATCGAGGACCAGGAGACGCCGGAGCCGGCCGACGGCCGGAGGTATCTCGCCGTGCAGCTGGTTGGAGCTCAGGTTGAGCCGCCGTAGGAAGGTGAGGTTCCCGACGGCCGGCGGGAGCGTGCCGGTGAGGTTGCTCGACGGCAGGTCCAGCGCCGCCACCCTCGTCGGCCACCGGTGGCTGCATGTCACGCCCTCCCAGCCGCAGAAGCTGGCGCTGGTGTTCCATGAGGCGAGCGCGCTTGAGCTGCTCCCGCTGAGCCCTGCCTTGAGAGCAAGCAGCGCCGGCTCATCGCTTGCCGTGCCGGTGCCGATCGTCATCAGGACGCAGAGGAGGGACAATGCAAGCCTCATCCGACGTATCGCCATGTGGATTCTTGGTTCGGTTTGAGGGAGCGTTCTTGGAGCAGAGTTTAGTTAACACGACTAGCTATTTTAGTTAAATGGAGATACTAGCATATCTCTGTTTCCTGCTGATCACCAGTACCAGTACATTTTTCTTTTTCTTCTTTTGGAAGATTTCACCTGACTTTGTTGACCTGGTTGGGACTGGTTCTCAGTTGCACTAGGGCCCGCCCGGTTTAGTTCTCAAAATAAAAATTTTAACTCTGTCACTTTGAACATTCGGATAAATATATGAAGTATTAAATATAAAAAAAATACTAATTATATAGATTATGTGTAAATTATGAGACGAATCTTTTAAGTCTAATTACAGTAAATATTTGCTTGTTAATGATAAATTAATTATGTTTAATAAATTTATCTCATAGCTTACTATCGGATTTTGTAATAAGTATTTTTATCAGTGCCGGACATTTGCTAATGCTGGACTATTAGAAGCAGTGTACATTCCACTATGCCACCAAACGCAAGTGGTCGGTCAGGAAAAGTGACAAATACTGCCAACATGCCGTGAGAATATCTTATGACAAACTAGTGTTCCTTTTCAGCGACCGTGGCGACGAAAGGAAAAAATTGACTTGACTAGAATGCTAAATGATTAAGAAGGTGTGTTGGGGGATTAGAACGTAGATGACTTATTAATATATGATTAATTAATTATTAATTATTTTAAATTTAATTAATTAATTAATATGATTTTTTTTGAAAGAAAAAACGAGGCTAGCACCTCCTGTGACGCCGCGACCTCTCAGAGACGGCGAGCTCGAGCTTTGGTGTTGGGACTCTGCCGAGCATTCGTGCCGTGCATATCTGGAAGGAGATTTGACTGAACAGGGAGCCACTTCGCCGTCACAAAGGACTAGATTTGCGTTGGTTTTAATAGCTGTCTTACAGCTAAGTGATGTAGATGAAACTCGATCCATAACTGAGGGACAAGAAGTGAACTTTTTTTCAAGCTCTGAACATATGGATTGCATTTCGAGGAACATGAAGGAATTAACCAGCCCACTGAGGTCCATAAGTAAACACGATGTAGACATGTAGTACACAAATCCATAGGCTCAGCCCATTTTGTACTGTATAGTCCAAGCAGGCTCAAAGCTAGATTCTTTACCAGCATGAAACTTCAGATGAAGTTCGTGTAGCCAGCAACATCCAAGTAAGCAAGATAAACATCCAGTGACACAAGTCACATTAAAGCAACATTCAAGCAAACAAGCAAAATTAGTATACCAACTCACTAGTTCAGTTTCACTAGATAGAAAGCATACCACATGACACAGCACTGCATTCTTAATTACGTACACACCACAAGACTGGAGAGGAAGGACTACATCATCGTACACACGCCATAGATGTCTCAAAACATCTTTATTCTTAGCACTTATTTAACTAGGATGCATTTCTTCAGTCTCAGGTCTTAGATCACAAACTCAGAGGAAACACAAAGTTACAGTGACAACAACTCATCACTTGTAACTGGATCAAACTACTAGCTTAGCAGTACTAGGCCCTTCCATCTCCTTGGTTTCGTCAGGAGGTTGCTTGCTTCACTTGCCGCAGTTGCAGGGGTTGCAGGTGCAGTTGTCGCCGCACTTGCACCCGTTCTCTGCTCCTGCTCCGGCGGCGGCGCCGGCCTCCAACCCCTCGGCATGACTGCATCCATCAGAGAATCAGCCAACCATAGATCAGTAATTAATTAGAACTCAGCGAAACATGAAACAATCTTGGATTGTTGCTACGCAATTTTCAGAGTAAAAGGCATCATCGTTTTCTTCAGATAAAGGGGAGAGTTTTTGTCATAACGTGCATGAAGTTTTTAGTCGTTTTCCTTACGCTGTAGCTAGCGCTGCAATTTTGTCATACGTACACGTAAAATGGAAGGCAGTGAGCCTCTTGACTCTCGACAAAATGTTTTGTTCTTTGTGACTCAGAAGGAAAAAAAAAAGGCAGGAAACATATGACAATTGACAAAAGAGGTTGGTAGCTAGAAAGATGGAGGTACTCAATTCTGTTCTATTAGAGTATATGATAGTTAGAGTAGGATAAGATTGATTTACATGGACTTCTTTCATATCTATAATCTTTTCTTATCTCTACACTGTACTCCTATATATACTGCCCCCTGAGACTCATTGTATTACAATGGTGTCGATAATCACAATATTTCCCTCTCCCTATACTATTCTACAAATTCAGTAACACATGGATTTTGCCAATGAATCACAAGTACATGACATGGAGAAGGAAAGGATTAGTGCACATACCCCTTGGAAGGTGCAACACCCATGATGACAGTCTGGGTAGTGGTCACCTCCTCAGCCATCTCCGGGTACATCTTGCATCTGCATGTACAAATAATCAATCAGAAATTCAGAGCCTATTTCTTGTCTGTTCAAAGAAGAGGGGATAAAAAAAATCAGATCCTTATCAGCCATCAGCATGCATGCTCCTCATTTAATAACGGTGGAAAGGAGCTAAATCAAAATCTCCTATAATGAATCTTTTTTTTCCTCTCAAGTAAGATCATCATCACATTAAGCCACCATCTCAAAAAAGATTTTTCTATCATGAACTTTTTCCTCTCAAGAAAGATCATCATCAGATTTGGCCACCATCTAAAAAAAGATTTGTTCACAGACTATTGAGTCCATAACATGTTCTATTATCCAAAACAAATCCCAAGGAGAGGCACACATATGACACATACAACACATGCATGTCAATATGTCATGAATACATACCAAGATCAACAACATGGATAAACACAAATTCATTACGGATCACAACACACAAAAAAAACCCCAGCAAACGAACAATATCCCTTCCGAGATCCACCGAATTTCCATCTCACCAACACCAAGACTAGACAGTTATTATACATGACAGATCAAGAACAGAAATTCAGAAGATGGTGATCGGATCTTACCCTCCGCAGCCGCTGCCGCACTGGCAGCCGGATCCGCAGCCGCAGTTTCCTCCGCAGCACGACATCTTTCTTTCAAAGATCAACACGGATCGATCGAACTGCGGGCACTGATCGCACAACACACGAGCACTCACTCTGAAAATCTGAATATCACCTTCAGCACCTGAACCACACGCAGGGAGGGGGGCGGAGAGGGTTGCTACTTATAGAGAGGGAGGGAGGCCATCCGCCGTACACGTGGCACGCATCGGGAGACCTGCCGTGAACAAATCGTCGATTTGGGGAAGGGGGGGAAGTCACCTCCTGTGGGGGTGAGTGAGTTTACGGTTTTGCCCCTCATTGATTGAGCGATTCTTCGGGACTCAACCGTCCGTCCGTCGCTCGCGGACAACCGAACGCATATGCATGGCGTGATCACGTATGATCCGCGAGTTTGGCGTCTGGTTTGTGGCCTCTAGTTCATAGTGAGAATTGAGAAGGTTGTGTACGTGTTTGTTTGTTGAGTTGTTGGGAGTTCGTGTATATTTTTCTAAACTAAATCAGCACAGAACTATCAATTATATTTTATTTTGAATGAGTATAATTAAAAAAAAACATCAACGAGAATAGACTTGTCAAGCATCAACCTATTAACAACTATACCAACATAGGGTTATTTACGTGCCTGGCGATGATATGTGTAGGGTTTACAATATATGTTATAACATTTATGGTACTAAAGTTTACATTCTTTTACATATGTGCTTGTGGACATACTAATAAGTTAGTGATAGATCAGGTACACAATCACCTAGCCTAGTCATGGCTTATCTAAAAGTAGATGTCCTATTAAACTTCAGCAAATATTTTTTAAACTTTATCGAAAAATATTTTCTAAAGAAAGAAAATATTGGAACTATAAATTACGGGTATGTTTGGCTGTCTGTTTTGCGCAAACGGCGTAGCTGACACCGACAGTGCCGAAAAGCGCAGCCGCAACCAGCTTGCCGAATATGCCCTATATTATGGGATAGATTTCATTCTCATCATTCATGTGCTTTATATATTTCTTCCACAAAGTTTATGCATTTCTTTATAATATGTCATCATACATTCGGCGCGCTAGAGGTGTATAATGCACGTTCAAGGAAGAATCAAAATACCACGCCGCATCGCTCGCAGCACAGAGGAGATTCAGAAGATCACAAATTCATGGTGCTTATTGATGTGTTGGGCCATGCCATTATGTCAAGCACTTGATAACACTGAAAATGGCCTGGAAATGGCCCGGATGGTAAGGTCGTAGGTAGGCATAAAGCAGGTTCATGTCTACTCTATCAATGGTTGTTTACTGAAAAGCTATTATTGTTATTTTATGTTTTCTCTATTTTTGTGAAGTTATTAGTCACCACCACTCGCTGGGAACTAGGAAGAGATAATCGTGACAAATAAAATAAGCTCCATATCAATCTGCTGATCTTTTGCATCGAAAATTTTCTAATCCTTTTTATTCTAACATATATTTTCTCAGTTTTAAAACTATTGACTTTTAAAAATAACATTTCATTATTTGTCTTACTTAAATATGCAAAAATAATATGGCATGTTTAAAGTATATTTCATAATAAAATAAATCATAGCAAAATAAATGATACTTATAGCTTTTTAATACGATGGACGGTTAAACGTCGTGTTCAAAAGTCAACAAGTTAATATATTAAAAGTCTGAATTTTCTTTTAGTTCCAATACCTGATGATATATTGCACATAATACCAGTTTATTTCACTTCGATCATAAGAAAAACATACATGCAGTAGACAATGTTCTTGCAAGGGTAGTGGCACAAATTTCAGGTCCACCGATTCTCTGATTCTGGTGCCAATTTGAAACTTTTTTCGTGTTTGACGTGCATGGATCACGGATAATGTCTCACGCACAAATAAAAGAAAAGAAAGAGAGGAGAAGAGTTCAAATATTCATTGCAGCGAGTTGGAACACGTGTAATCCACACGTCCATAATTGTCTATGCTGGCCAGAATGGACACGCCGCACTTTGTTTTAAATTTAAAATAATTTTTTAAAAAATTAAGCATAAGAAAAGCTGAAGAGGACATGGCCTGAACCTCCACGGCAAATGAAAATGGGCGTGTCATTATCGGATAGAGAAGAGACAATGCCATCATTGACTTTTGACTTTGCGAATCCCACTGATTAGTACTCCCACCGTTATTTTAAGTGCGACCATAAATTTAACGTTTAATTTTGATTGTCCGTCTTATTTTAAAAATTTTTATAATTAGTATTTTGGTTGTTATGAGATGATAAAATATGAATAGTACTTTACTCAAGACTTATGTTTTTTATTTTTTAAAAAAAAATTAAATAAAACGGACGGTTAAATTTGGGCGCGAAAAAACCATGCCTGTACTCAAAATGCGACGGAGAAAGTACTCATAGTAAATAGGAGGAACACAATTTACACAAATGAAGTTGCTGCATTACAAGCTTGATTAAGTCGGTGCTTGGAAGAATAATATATATAGCACCTGGTTATTCAGATAATGCATGTTAGTTTCTTCAGAAAACTTGTATAATAATCATTTTTATTGAACTCAATCAATTACGTTAAAATGGTATAACTGCAAGAACACTTCGCCCTTCCAAAATCTCGCGCTGACTGATGATATCACCCACTTTAATCACTATGCAAAAAGGATGAATGTTTTTAAACTTTCTGTATGCATAATCTTCCTGAACTTTACTCTGAAGTCTTAGCGGCAACCAGTGCCTGCCAGTACGTGTGGCGATCATGATCTACCCATTGATTTGCTTTTTGTCTCATTTTCAATGAGAATGATGTCAAAAGGACCTACTTGTGGATATGATTGGCACCATGTCGATCGTCCCGAATTGGTTCAGTCCATTTCCAAAACCGGTGACACAAAAGTCTCAGTTGTTCACTTTGATGTCATTTTTAACCATACTATTTTTAGTCTACATTTAGTTTGTTATCAAATTTAATCAATACTTCCTCCGTTTCACAATGTAAGACTTTCTAGCATTGCTCATATTCATTTAGATGTTAATGAATCTAAGCACAGATGTTAATGAATCTAAACACATGTACTAGCATTTATATGTACGTGGGTAATGCTAGAAAGTCTTACATTGTAAAACGGAGGGAGTACATAAGAAATATTGCTAAAATTTTGGCAATATTGCCATCTTGCTAAAATTTTAGCATTACTAAAATTTGATAAGGTTTATTTTAGCTACAATTTAAACAGTCTCTTGTTTTCTTTTCAAGATAATGAAGCAGAATCTTTTGTGTTTTCTGATATCTTCAGGTATTCGTACTTGTAGACAATCTGGAACTCTCTCCACAGCTCCAGAGGTTGAACAGTGAACGGAGAAGTAATAATAATAATCCAATGTAAGTTTGTCACATGGATTGTCTGAAGAAAGTTCTAGCTTCAGATTCAGAAACTTGTCGTGAATGCATCAGTAACTGTGCAGGCAATGCCAGGTGATTGATTCCTAGTATTCGTTAATGATGAATACAAAAAGGATTTGAGATTAGGTGCTGTAGCAGATTAGCCAGACGCGTAGATTGAACTAGATGCTTCACTTGACAGTAGAAATAATCGTCTGTCACCTTCTGCAACAAAACAAAAGGAGCTAATCAGCTACTACTGCATTCTCTTCTGTAGAAGCTGGAATTTCAGAAGAAGAAAAAAGTTAGGCCGAAACAAAAGCCCAGAAGTTTGGAATTTTCTTTAGATGGGCCAGACCCACCAATGATGTTACAAGGCCCAGCCCGTTAAAGTTACATCTCGGCCCAATGGAAAAGTACACAGAGCTCGCCACTGTTTCAGTGTTAGGGCCCATATGGAGGCCGAAACTCTGAACCCGGCCTATTCCTAACGGCCCAAGTTAGTTCACCGTGGACCAGCCCAGGATCCTGGGCCATCCAAATGGGCCATTAGTATTTGGATTACTTGTCACAAAGCCTGTGAGCTCATGAGCGCCAGTAAGAGGCATTTTGCACCTATAATATTATTATTATTACACTTCTGTCATGGAATTTTAGGCAGAATCAGAGTTTTTGACATGATAGAAGTCTAGGAAACTTTCAGATAGATACATGAATTCCTGCTCCTCACCATTTGTTGACTGGTATTTTTTTTCCAGCATTACTTCTACAAGATTACGCATTCCAAAAACTGGTGCAAAAACAATTGCTCCTTCAACCCCACTCAATATATAAATTTCAAAACCTTTCAGCACATGAATTGAATTCCTAAGCCCTAACAAGTAACAACCACCCCTCCAAACCTTGTTCTCTTCAAGGAGAGAACAGAAAGAATGTTAATATATACATGAGGATAATAGCATTCCACCATATAGAACAGCTAAACCAACAAAATTTTTAGGGGCAAAATAAAAAAACTAGCTAGGCTCAAAACTTTGCAAGCTGAAGAGTGAACTCTGTCAGAAGCCTGTCAAACACAAAGTCTGCCAACATGTTCCCCAAGTGATCAGCATCTCTCTGAAAATTCACCCAGTGATCGTTCTTGGATAGATCATTCGACAAAATTGTGTCAATTTCTATGCTGGACTGTGGCTGTTCATCCAGATGGCAGCTTACTTTAGACCACAATTCCTTGAGGGCATGGTTTCCCACAGGTTTCGGTCTATCAAAAGACGAAAACCGGGAGAGCAAGGACTTGGAAACAGAATATTTCTTGTAGATGTCGAGCAACACTTCATTTGTCAAGTCAGACAGAAGTAGCTGATCAGCTGACATCTCAGTGAAATCAAATGCAGCGGCAGCAGCCTCGTAGTGTTGGCAATCCTCTTCTTGGAGAACTGTAATGTTCTGTGAGCACCATTCATCAAATAGTACTTCATTGCGGAAGCTTGATTTCATGAATATATTCTTCACATAGATCAACCCATCTTCATTCTTTGGATCTGCTTGGAGAGAGCTTAGTTCATCAGAGTCACTTTCTTGAACATTTTTGTGACCCAGGCCAGCAGTTGAAAGTTCCATGGAAGTGCTGGTATTGAGATCCATATCAGCTGAATCATCGGTATCACTTAAATGGAGGACTCTTGGCTTCAACGACGAATCTGCAAAAGGAAAAGGAAAAAAAAACTCAATTTAAAATTGAAGCTGAAGCTTGAAACAAAAGCTAATTAAATGATTTTTTTAATGATTGAACTGTATTGGACTTTTTAATGTCCCCTGCAACTCATAAAGTAAAAATACTTGATCTGGCTACCTTTATGTAAATTTAATTCAGACACTTACAGTGACAGGTCACTGAAGCTCCAAAATCAAAGGCTCTAAACTAAACATCGTATTTTTTTTCAAATTATAGAAAACTAATGTATGTATGTAAGTTTTCTGCTACTAAACGGAAATCTCACCATCCAGGATTGTATATTTCACTGGACTAGCAGGATCATCTGGGAAGGTCATGTCAAGAACAGACATTGGACTATCAGTTTCTTGTTCACAGCTTAGATTTATCTCAGCTTCAATTTCTTGACTGGGACGAGGAACACAAAAAGTACCTTCTCTTGACTTCAGAACATCGGATGAATGAATTTGTTTGTCATCTGAAGTTGTTGTATGTTCTTCTGAAATCCTTCCGTCTTCTGAAACTTTAGTAGTATGCATACCTGCTTCTGTTGACAAATTAGTATGGTCATCGTCACAAGTTGTTCCATGTTCTTCTGGGACATCAATTTCTTCTGATTTTGAATGAACAGTACACATATTATCTTCAGTTGATGAGTGAACCTGATCGTCATCACAAGTTGCTACATGCCCCTGTGAAATATCAATCACTTCTGAAAGTAAAGGGGGAGTACATATATTAGCTTCAGTTGACACAGAAACACCACACTTTTTGTCAACGATGTACTCTTCGATTAACACAGTATTTTCAGAGCCATCAGCATCCTTATGACCAGAGATCTCATCCATAGCAGCATCCACATCTCCATCCACAATAATTCTCTCTGGAACATATGGTGCCAAGGCATGTTCTGGGATCACGAGATTTTCAGCAGTCATAACCAAACTCTGCAACCCAGTCATCACAGCAGGCGCATCCAAAGAATGATCCCTAGTAGATTTTGAACTTGTCAGCGTCCTCTTCGACTGGTTGCTTGAAATAGAATCCAGCAAGTGAGAATATTTCTCCAATGATTCAGTGAGGGAACGTGAACGCCGAAAACCTTGGTTTACAGGTCTTTTTGCAGCAGTTACAGTATAAGATTTCAAACCATCCCTGTCATATGTGGCGGAGGCTGACCGGGAAAGTCCTTCTTTAATTACATCTTCAGATGCCTTATGTCCATAAGGGACCTTATGAAGAACTCCATCCATTGAAATGCTACGGTGGCTCCTTTGTTTCACATGAATGTCACCTCTCTTTAGAAGCGAAGAACTTGTATCATTATCGCAACCATCCTGGGTGTTGAATGTAGCATTTTGGATATTTGTATCTGTGGAATTTGGCATAATACTTTGTGAAGAACCATCACCATTGGAAGCAGATTCACCATCAAGAACATACTCATTGCTTTCCAGGTAATGTATTGAAAGGGTACGGAGTAGCTTCGGTGCAACAGGAAGCATCTTTTCTTTATGGCCTTCCTTTCCATACAGCTTTTTTAGAATCAAGGAGCCCAAACTTCCCTTACCAGAACTCTTTTTTGAAGACTTGTTTTTCTTTGTTGTCTGTAATAGGAGAAATGAAAACAACGTGATAAGCCAACTCCAATATGAAATAAATATTGACTATATGTGGGGGTTTTTTTTACGTAACTATATGTGGTTTTGGAGGAGACAAGTACTACCTCCGTTTCAGGTTATAAGACTTTCTAGCATTGCCCACATTCATATAGATGTTAATGAATCTAGGCACATGCTAGAAAGTCTTATAACCTGAAACGGAGGAAGTAATACTTATGGAAATTTCCTATGTGGATTATGTAATGTCGTGGAAATTTCCTATACGTATATTATGCTTATAAATAATTTCTGATCCAAAAAAGTTCTAGAAATATTGTAATAAACTACTGAAACTAGATGCTCATAGTATGCACTGTAGTCTGAAGAAGTTTAAGGAATTTTTTTTAGATAATGGATTTTCATTAATCCGGCCTCTATATCCACGAGGGATATACACAACCAAGAAGTTTAAGAAATTATAACCAAAATGTAAAAAAAAGAAGTGTTTGAATGCTTGCTTGAACAGGATGAAGCAACTTGTATGTACCTCAGTGTGTTTGTCATCGTCCATGACACTAGTGTCTTCATCTTTCAGTGGAACATATGAACCTCGGCGTCTACTTCCTACAATTATTTTTTCATCTAATGCAAATTATAATCGTGCAAGGAGAATAATTTATAATAAAAATCATAATCAAAGCAGAACACTGTTTTGGTAAGTTTTACATAACAAGGAATTAAGTATCTACTGTACTACCACTAAGAGTCAAATAGTAAATTTCACACTGTTTTAGTAATATTGCTCATGAGAAGGCCCCTGGGGTATTCCGGCTAGCACCACAAGGTAGTGGGCTAGCCGGTCCGGGTTCGAGCCTCACTCCTCTTAATAATTTCTTATATGAGAGCCCCTCCTCTCATATCCAATGGGTTTTTTATGGTAATATTTCTCATAAGTTACATAATTCGCCTAAATATCAAATGGAAGAGAAGCGCTTGCTAGCGCAGTGGCAGAGGTATGCGGATTCAACCCCGAAGTCCCGTGTTCGACTCTAGTGCACGCTCGCATTTCTTCTTAATTAATTGACACCAAGTTCCTCTTTAGTGTCCAGCGTTTCTCCTTGGTGTCTTGTGTGTGTTTTTTTTTCAAGCAAAAAACCTTTCCAACCACATGAATTTGCACAGTTGTATTATTCAACTACACTCTGTTGCACCATAGTATTCAAGGTCCTATAGCAACTAGCAGGTAACAAAAAAATGAAGCAGTAAACTTACCACCACTGCCTTTTCCCTGACTCTGTTTCTTGTCAGAGATCATCTTAGTGGATCGCAGGCGGCGACGGAAGCCAAAGAACTGAAGAATGCTCCATCGGCGCCCATGGAGTTCCTTCCCATAAAACGCGGAGTCCTGATGGTGCAACAGCTGGGCCATTTGGTGTTAGCCCGTCAACAAAGGTAGGAGGAGTGGTTCCTTATAAGCACCACCTTTGCAGAATAAGGAACAATTCCTCAACTTTTCTTTAAACCTGTCATGAACAGACTGACCACCGATTAACAACTTAGCGAATAACACGCATAATATCATTTCAAGTACAAATAAATTATTGCCTGAATAGCAAACTGGAACTCTGGAAAAGTGCAGCCAAACAAATTTAATACAGAAAAAAGATGTTCTCCAACCAAGTATCCATAAAATCGGCTAGCCAAAGGCAGATGTTAATCATGAGGAAACACATAAACCATAATCAATGAACAAAGCTAATAGAAAACAAGTTGAGAAGGCCCTTTGCTGCCTTTCAGACAAAGAAACAGAAATGATGCTGACACAAGCACCTCTTTCTGAAAACATGCAGACAAACACCCACCAACAGCAACTAAACCATTTCTTAAGACACCAATTAAACCATATATCCATACATATCCTTGTTAGTTAGAATTTCAATTCCTAATCAATAATTAGGTGACAAGAAAATGAAATCTTCACAGGGGCAGGCACTTCAGTGAAGAAAAACACTGATTCCCACGGACAACGTATTTAAACCGTGTGGAAATGTTTCCACACTGCGCAAAATAAAGAAGACAAAGGAAGCTTCTAAGGAAACATGGTGAACAAGCACAGGGAAATCTCACATACTATAAAGCAACAGACATTGTTTTCAGTATTTTATTGAGAAAATAAGAAAAGAAAATGACCATGGACAGGTAATTAAAATTTCAAATTAAACAGAATCACATAGGAGAACCTACGTAGGGCGTGGGGTTCAGATAAATCTTTTTGGAAACAAACTTTACGGATTAATCCGACGAAAAGGAATAAATCCAAGGCCGGATGAATCCGGAGGAAACTGCATGTACGGATTAACGGAGGAAAGAAATCAATCAAGGCCGGATGGGGCAAAGAGTGAGATTGGCATCACAAAACCATTCGCAAATCATCAAAACGGACGTCGTTAAACACTCCCTTTTACTAATCCAAACAAAACGATGAACAAACCATCTCCTTTTCTCCCCCAAACAAAAAAAAAAAGAAAAAAAAACAAAGAAACCAAACAGAAACGTATGCGAGAGACCACCTGAGATCCGAGATGAAGCCTCACAAACCCTCCAGCTCCAGCTTATCCAAAAAAAAACCGAAACATAAACCGACTCACGCCTTTCCACAAACAGATTAAACGCACGCCGCTGCCATCAAGAACCCACAAAACCGGCCGCAAAGAAACCTCCTTTTATTTCTGCAAACGAACCTTCGATTTCAGATGACGCCTGCAGCCGACGCAACCCAGAAAAAAAGGGATTTGGTGTCCGATTCGAGGGTTTGGTGGTGCTTTTGCCGCAAGGAGGGAGTTGGTGAAATGGAAAGTTGGAGGAAACGCGAATTCCCCGAATAAGAACGGGAGGAGGAAGAGGAAAGGATCGCAAGTGCGAGGAATGGGAAATTTGAGGGGGTTTTCTGATAAATTCCGGTCCGTAGCTGCCTGCCTGAATGGCGGGTGCTGGTAGTTGAAAACTTCCATTCTCTTTTGGCAGTTATCAGTTTGATCTCCTCTCTTTTTCTTTTTTCTTTTAATAAGAAAAAAAGTATTTTTGTTTTATGGTAAGCTGGTTATTTTTTTCGAGTACAAGTTGGACGCGCACACGCAGATACACCACACGCGTGTCCACACACACTCAGAGTTGAGTTTGTGGTTTATCTGGTTATTATTGTCCATATGTAAAATTAATAGCACGCAGATTTTCACTGAGCTTTTTTGGTATTGGAATATTTCATTAATGGATGAAGATATACATGTGTTTGTATTTTTCTTGCTTAAAAATATTTTTTTCTTTTCTGATATGTTTATAAAAATACATGATTTTTTTCTTCTTTCATTGGCAAGGTTTTAATAAAATGGCTGGAATTGCATCTCTTTCCTATCGTGATCGAGTTGCAGCTGAGAATTCACATATGAATGAACTGGCAAAAGGTTACAGGAAAAGATGAGATGGCTGTCCTTGTCAGATATTAAGTGCACCAGCAATTTTATAAATTATAGAATCAATGCAAAGTATGGAGACAGTACATAGAACCGCGTTTTCGTCCAGCATGGTCATTATTGCCTGAACTTTTTAAGTATTTTTGGCTTTTGTTTCGAAAGCCTCCAAATCCTCCTTAATTCTGTACTCCTTTTTGCCAGACCAACCTCAAACACACTGTGTGCTTGTTTGTATTGTGGTGGACCCTAGGAAAAAAAAGTTGGTATGAATTTGACCACTCCATGGATCTCTTTTGTGTGTGTGAAATTGTGAAGTTGTCCTCTTCATGGATATTTTGTAAGATCTCAGTGAATATTTGAGAGAAGAATAATCGTGGTCAGGAGTTTTTTAAGCAGCCACATAAGTGTCCGTGGACTGATAGTCATTAGTGTGTTTGCTATGTTTACCAAAAATACATTGTAAAATTTAGATTGTATCCTAGCTATTCAAACATTGCAAAGGCCAAGAGCGATTTTAAAATGGTTGTATTTGTATCACCTTGGTATAATTATCTTGATATTAATAAAAGATTCATTTATTGAAAAGATGTATTTGTGATATCTATGAATTTTCTCTTGGTCTATGTTGACCTGCTCAATGCTCAGGGTAGTACATGCAGCTCCAATCAAACTTGGCATGCCATCTTCAGTGGAAATCATATCATTTTATTCCTTTTGCTAGTTATCTTTGACGTATGGAACTTCTCCATCGTATAAATAGAGAGAAAATAAAAAAAAGACCTGCAAAAGGAAAATAATTTTAGATGAAAACATAAGTGATAGGAAAGAGTAAAGATGTGCGACCTTGTGCTGACTTGTTCTAGCCTTCTAGGCCAGTAGTTATAACAACAGAGTATTACTAGTACACATCGCATCGCTAATCAAGATATCAAAATCAAGACCAGCCTTTTCTTCCACCACATGTTCATTGTTAATGAAAGTGACTGGCTTAATCTTTACTTAATTACTGCCTCCAGAATGCTATCGCCCATGATTGCTTCTAGTCATCACTAGGATTGCTGCGCTGCAATGCCATGAAGAATTGTCTCACTTTATCATGACTAATTTGAGACCTGCATGCTGCATCATCTTCAGAGTAAAAATACTTAAATCTTTTGAGCACTAACTACAAAGTCAACTACCAACTTTGGAGTAAAAAGTCAACTTTGGATTTGCTGAATACATGATAGATTCCAAGCCTCGTTTGAAATATGGATTTTTTTCCTCTTTTTTTTCCCTGATTGTTGCATGAATTTGATAAATTCAGGTAAAATTCCTTAGTTACAAACAGATCTCCCAGTTGATAATTCTGCTGCTAAATTCGTGTGCTCACAGATCTCCATCAAATGCAATTGACCAGCTGTCATGTAGCGACCAAATGGCTGTAAATTTGTTGAGATGAAACTGACTATTTTTATTCAAATGGTGCAGAAAAATCTACCAAAACAAGTTGGAATTGACCGGATGATTCTATCTGGAAGCATTGCAATTGACTGGTTACCAGTTGCTAGTACTACCTACTGTGCTCTGCAACTTGTGGCTTGTACTAGCTGACCATGCAACTACAGATCATCGGCGACAACAAGACACCATATTGATTTAGTTTACTTAATTTTTGAACAAAATAGAGCATACGAAAGTGATGGTCAGCATGAACTCTTGTGGTCAAACCGGCTACTGGGACTGTAGGTCTTCGTACATTTCATATGAAACATACGGCCTCTTTAAAATATTTGCAGGTCACTGAACGAATCTCGGATGAGATCGTAGTACTTGATTGGCCGAGCTCCAGCTCACAGTTCGATTACACAACTTCATTTCGACAAAAATGAGGTCAGAACATGATTTTGAGAAGGAATTGTTTGAGTTGTTACTATGAACTTGGATTCTGCTGCTCATTATTCTTTGGCCAAATTACAGTAGTCATAGTCTCATGGAGACTAACGGTCAGAGTAAAACAAAATGCGGTCAGTCTTTTTGCAAGAAAAAAAAAGGTGATCTGCAAGAAGTCCACATAGGAGAATTTTGTACAGGATTCCTTAGGCCCAGTTTGGAACATGGGATTTTTTAGGAATTTGCTTAGGATTAGATCCAAACACTCATGTTTCATCACCACATATTTTACAGTTACATGTGTTTTCAATTCCGTAATTTTTCCACTTTACGCTCTTTCTTGTTCCTATGTTTTTCCTGTTCATGTGTTCTCCGTTCCTTTGTTCCAAACATGTCCTTAAAAACACGTCCAGAACAGTGATAACTGATGACAAACTCACGAGTAAAGTTCTTGGTACAAAATATGCATGTGAGTATGTGACTGTCACCCAGGGAAGCAAGAAAAAGGAAACAGCACCAATGTACACCACGAAGCTAGTATATACTTTGTAATCAAATCGACGACTTCTGGTAAGGTTTTTCAGAGGACAACAGGCAACAATGTCAAGCATGAAAATGGCAGGCTTCAGCTGAGAAGGACAGAATAGGACAGCAATTCCAGGCGTCAAAATGAAATTATGATCGCATTACTACTGCTTGGACAAATGGACAAGAAGTCAATAAGCTGATATCAGATGAAACTTGTATTGTATTTAACCATTACAACAGGGCCAATGCAAACTCAAAGAGAAGTTCAACAATAGCTAAGAGGGATTCCATTGTGGACTAGATATTTTAGATCATAGAATAGAAGTGGTACACTGAAGGCTTCAACTTCCGAACACTGAGACCAGACCAAAGATTCAATCCCATGTGGCCATCGTGCTGACACCAACTCCTTACAGGAATGGTGGAAGAATCACCCATCGCCGAGGATACTTCGGCCTCCCTTCCTTGCCATCGAACAACTGCAAAATAAGAAATATCAGTAAATCTGTGCAATGATAACATTGTTCAGCACTTCAGCGCAGGAGAAAAAAGAAACCGTGCTTGCCTTCTTTAGACGGCGGTGCTTTCCAAGTGCCCAGTTGGTCATGATACTCGCTGCCACAACAAGGAAGATGTAACCTGCCACAGTCTGTGTGGCAATGTTGAACCCAAGCCATTGGTAGATCTCAGTGGTATAGTTTGCGCATGTCACTATGTTGAACAGGAAGCCACGAGGAATCTGATAGCCACCGTTACCACTCGGACTTCTGAGGTTCCTCAGCAGGATATGGCAATAAAAGTTTGCAATTTGGCAGAGAATCCCAAATCCAAACCCAATCTTCATCTGCAATTCACTCACAGGGGTGTAAAGCGGGTGGTTGCAGTAGTAAGCAATGTAAGCTCCAAAGGTCCAGTAGTAGGCACAGTTCCTGAAGACATTTGATACAGGAGAAGTCGCGTGGCTGAAGCGGTGAACAAAGAACGTCTCCATGATCCTCTTGAAGTAGTGGAAACACCAATAGTACATGGCGTAAGTCTGGACAGGATGCATGACCCGCTCTCCCTCGTATCCGAAATATTTGTAGACAGGCAAGTAATAGAACATGGGGTAGATAAGAAGAGGACCCAAGTATTCAAAGAAGAACAGCGTGCTGTAGAAGACCTGTGGGCCTAAATCCTTAAAGACCACTGTCAGGGATCCAGAACCCTTTTCGCAGTATTCTGATAGGCTGGCCTTTGCACTAAGGACAACTGGCTTTCCTGATTTTCCAGGTTGGATAGGGAGGGTGAGCCGCTGCCTAGCAGGGTAATACTTCTTAGCTGCATGGTGTAAAACCAAGAGGTTAGCAACTCATAGAACACATTGAAAGCATGCATTCTAAGAGAAGCAAGGTATAATAAAATAGTTTTTTTTTAAACATCCCGCTAGCCCATTCATGATTCACCCAAAGTAATCAAACTGAGTTTTCTGTATATGTAAGATCAAAGATTATGATCTACATTAGCAACTAATGCTGCAATCTTTCAGTTAGAATAAGATTAGTTTGCATTTGCAATCTTGCACTGGTCAGTAATCACTAGATGTACTTGGATTCCACACTTTGGTTCATCTATTACGGTGCATGTTTGGTGTACTAACATGCACTTGAGGGCAGTGATAGGAAATAAAACTACTTAGGAAGATTTTAAACAGTACTTATAACCATATATCATGATGTATCTTCTCGCTCTACTACATCTCTACCACATTGCAGGACCTCTTCTTTACTCTTGAGGGTCCAACATGAATAATAAATTCCTTGTGAACATCACCTCAGGATAACATTATGGCAACTTAATAGACTAACATGCAAATGCGCCAGTCTGGCACAAGCAAGAAGATGGTGCTTATAATTGTGACAATAAATACCATAATGACATAGAATAGAGGTTCTTGATAGCCAGCTTAGCTAAAGTTTGATAAATTCAAGCAGTAAATTACGTTGTCTGTCATTGATAATGCTACATCAGCATAGGTTGTGAGTTAAAACGGACACTAGGTGGTGACTTAAGAGTGACTGACAGGAGCACACAAAATGACAGGGGAATTAGCTTCCTGATTCAAGGCTCAAAAAGGAAGAACCATCAGCAGACAGGGCTGAAATAGAAATGGTTTTACAGAAATAAGACAACTAGTTGCTCGAATCAGCATGACCCCTTCATCAGGGTAAGGCACAGCACCAAATATCATGAAACACTCAAGATAGGCTTTATCACAAGCAAATTTGAACATGATACAGAAAACAAATGCAGACAGTAAAAACACTTCCAATTTCTTCAACAATAGCATATTATACTCAATGCTTGTGCCGTACATATGACAGAGACAGTCTTAGTAAAAAGTGTGAACTTTTAGTATTACATTTGTTGTTTATTTCAGTAAACCATGTGTGCATATTTCAAATTAGGCAGTTTTCAACATAACGAATATTAGCTGGCTACAGTATATCAACTAACTATCGCCCTTTGTTTATGAAAGATTGGAAGCTATTTTCAACATACAGGTCTTCCTAAAATCATTTTGGCATACAGTCAATAGTATATTGCCAAGTTAGTTCAACCACGTTTCCTGTTTCCATCATTCCATGTAATCTATCCTTTTTAAGATTTCTTTCACTCTGCAAAGGTAAACGAATATTAAAAAGTGCACACACAAAGCTTGTGAGCGAGTAGAGGTTGATAGCCAACTCCATCCTACCTAAGCAGATCCTAACAACCTGTAGGCTGCAGCAACCAAAAGAATCCTTGCCAGTACTGGCAAAGTGGCAAGCTCTAGTCAACCAATCAAAATGAACCAAGGGCGAACACAATTATTATATCGATGTACTGTTTTCATGTTCCAAGCACTAGGTTCGGTACGAACATAATATTCAGTCAGTTGTTTACCTTTTCAGCTTATAAATACTAGCCTAAATATCAATTATTATCTGCAACTCCCAAACCAACATGGTCCATGTACTGATATACACCATAAATCAGACTTCTCTGATGGCTAACACTCGCAAGTTTGAGTCAAAGCATCAACAGTACCCCGGGGTGAAACGCTCTTGGATTAATGGAAGTGCAGAAAATCCTTTCTTTAACTCTCTTTTAATGAATTAAATAAGTGCAACAGTGATTACTCCTGATGACCATACTAATTAACTCCCAAAATGTCAGATTTGGACATACTGGCCAAACTCAATCGACGCTTCCAAAATTTAGAACTGTAGGATGTATTAAAAAAGGCAGTCGTAGTCTAACTACATAAAAAAACATATTTGCCTTAAAAAGGCCTTTAGCTTGAATTGAATGCAAACCCACTCATATGCATATATTCCTATCTTTTTCAACATGTAAATACGACCAAACCCTTCCAAAGAATGAGAAGATAACGAAGTGCAGGAGAGCCACTACAAGTACTACTCCTTTAACACATCAACAAACACAACCATAAAACGGGAAATTTTGACGGGATCATTGCACTTACTCTTGGCATAGATGGCATCCTGCAGATCCGCGACCTTAGCCTGCAAAAGAAAAGAAAACAAGAACCCACGAATCAAACCTCAACCTCAAACCTTTCCACGAGATCTTAACCCCCCCCCCCCACCCAAGAACCAAAACTCCAAACCCTCCCCCCTACAAGGCTGCAACACCAAAACCCATAATCCGCACCAAATTTCTCAATCAAGAACCTGACGAGCTCAAAAAAAAAAAACGGAACGAATGGAGACGACATACCGAGTCCTTGAGCTCGACGCCGCCCCTGACCACCTCCCGGCCGCTCCGGGACACGACGGACACCTTCATCCCGCCGCCCACCGCGAGAGAGAGAGAGAGAGCTCGCGCTGCGGCCGCCGCTGCTGCTGCTGCTGCTCGTGCGGTGGAGACGAGGTGGGGATCGGGGAGTGGCCGGAGGAGGTGTATTTGATCCCGCGGGGGCAAGAAGGTGTGGGGCCCACGGGCCGCTGGGCCGTTGGACCCACCGGAGTTATGCGACGTATCCGGCCCTCTTGATTGTATGGACCCGGTCCATGGACCCCCAAAAGTAAAATTCAGTGTGCAAAAACACACCGTTTGATCACCGATTGCTTTCGGTTTTGTCGAAATTTGGGGTTTTGCGTATCTAGATCGTGCTAGTCATGACTGAGATTTGCGTAAATCTCTTGTTTTCTTTAACAGATTTGGATATCTTCCTGATCACAATAGCATGATCGTTCGTTTAGTCTAAATTGATTGTTCAATCACAAGTTCACAACTAGGCATATATTCTTCCACATGGATACATGTGCTGACCAAAATGTGCAAAGAGTGTGGCACGCATTCCTGAAGCACACGCTCTTTGTACCATCGGTGAGACTCTGTAATTACCTCCTCCACGCCTAGTTCACACTAAAGTTTGAAAATTTGGTTGAAATTGGTACGATGTGATAGAAAAGTTATGTGTATGAAAGATTTGATGTGATGACAAGTTGAAAGTTTGTAAAAAAAAAACTTTGGAACTAAGCAAGACCTAAAAAAGAACAACATAAAAGCAGGAACTTCGTGCAGGAAATGCTACTAGGAATTAGGAATTAGGATCACCATTCTTATCATAATACACCATCATTTGTGTTGATCATCTGCTTAAGAACTTGCAATAACACTCTGAAAGCAGTGGTTACTAGTAATTGATAGGGCCAGTCATGTCAGTAAAAAAACTTGAGGTGGTGTATGGACATGGTTCTTCAGAGAAAGATGTCGGTACGATGCATGGAGGCTGCGTCAGGGAAGGAGTTAAGGATTGCAGTTGGGAGGTAGGTCGCCCAACGGGCACCAACGCCGCCTGCAAAATCTTCCGTGCTGTCTGAAACTCTGAATCTGTGATGCAAAAAATTCCCTGAATAGCGAGACATTTTTTTCTTGTGAATTGTGAGATTTCGGAATGCCAGCAATGGCCGATCCATCACGATCAGTTCGGATCAAGAATCCATCAATGGAGACTGTTACCAGTAGGAAGGTGGAGTACATAACTATCAGCATTCAGCAGATGCTCGTGTGGAAAATTCAGGGTTCATTTTACCTGCATCATAAATAACAATAATTCATGTTTATTTGAGATAGTTAAAATTGATGGATTAAATAAATAGTTTGATCTTTTTATGGCTCTCCTACAAAATCAATCAGATATTTAACAAGTTATTATGCGAAAATTTATATATTATTTTCCACGAACACATTGTTGAGAAGCTGGTCTAGAATAAGAAGAGGGTAAGACGAAAATTAGTCATTCTCGTATGCTTATTTGATTGTTAGCCAACTATTGGCTCCAATTCATTTATAGCTAATCTAATAGCCAATTAATATAATAGTTAGCTATAAAAATATACTACATCATTAATATTCAGTCCTACCTCTCATTCACATATAACGTCTTAGAGTCCGTGTTGCAGCTGGCTACAAATATGTAACCCGCTTTCTTCTCTCTCTTCTCTTTTCTTCTCGATATGAGGTTATAGATGGCTTATAGCATGCTATTGTACCTGCTCTAATGTGCAATGCATCTCCATGAATATTTGTTTGTATTTAAGTCCTTGTGTAATGCTCAACTCCTGCCAACAAATCTTACAAAGTTTTACATCAAGGACCTTGGAGTAAAACAATATATTATATATACACCCTTGGGCCCACCTGTCAACCTCTCACCCTATATTAAGTAAGGAAAAAAAAACCTCCTCTTCCCTCCACCCGTCCGCATCCCAAATTCCCAGCACCAGCAGCGCCCGCCGCCGCCGCCGCCGTCGCCGTGCCGAGCTCTCCTCCTCCGCCAGATCCGCACTAGCGGCTCGGTTATTCTCTCCGGCACGAGAGACGAGGGTTCCCCGGCGAGCGAGCGAGGGCCGGCGATGGCGGAGCCGGAGCAGCCGGAGTTCGCGCGCGAGCGGCACGTGCTGTTTCTGGAGGCTATGGCGTCGGAGCTCCCCGCGGACTACGCCTCGCAGGAGGTCAACCACCTCACCCTCGCCTACTTCGCCGTCGCCGGCCTATCTCTCCTTCGTGAGCTCGACAGTGTAAGATCCCCGCTCTCCGCCTGATCTGCCCTAGCGGTTATCCTCTCGATCCGTTTCCTGAATTACGCGTAAATTCGTTTTTTTTTAGTTATTTGTTGAACTCTAGTCTAGACTAGATGTGCCCGTGTGCAAAGCTTGGATCTTTACTTTACCTTGTGTGGTCGCTTTGCTTGCATTTAGTGGAAGCAAAGTTGCATCTGTAGGAATAAAATCAATCAGCAGATTTGGTGCACTTATGGTACCATGAAGTATTTTGAAACCTCAAGGATGGCTATTGGTAGTATATTCAGAGATAAATTAGTTGCTGTATCCATAATGGGAGTTGCAATTGATCTTTATTGTGACAAACACAGGGATCCAAAGTTTGTGGATAGCAGAATGCCAAGTGTGGAAGGGTCTTTTCAATTTTTTTTTTTTTGGAATTCCTGTAAAGAACAACTACTAGCTGCAAGGTTTAAGCACTTTAGCCCATAAGTGGTCACTGACCAGTAACCAGTCTACTCAAAGCAGTTAGAGATTATTGCGGTTAGGCAATTTGCATCTGTCCGGCAACTAGATCACAATATCACATAACTACATTCGCTTTCGATTTCTAGCCAAACTAAGAGGAAAGGGGCCCATGTGATGTTTCTGTAGCAACGAATTGGTCCACGTCCCTTAATTCGGTCTAAATTCCATTCGTCTTTGTCTTGTCCATGGGCAGTTGCCTTAATGCTCTGCACAGTTAGGAGCCGCCTAGTTGGTTATGATTTAAGTTCATCATACTTGATGCCTTGCTCATGTAAACAACAAAAACATGATAGCCTCCTGATATCTCCATTCTCAAATTACTAGTAACTTCTAAAAAAACTTATAGCCTCATGCAAATATTTTTTTACCAGTCTTATCATGAAAATTGTACCTGTATGTATTATGTATTAAAACAAGTAACCATGCCTGGTTGCTAGCTGAAATATTTATTGTGGGAATTTAAGTTCACTTTGTGCCTTGACTGAGTTGACTCTTCAGGAAGAAGTAATATACTGAGTTGACTGAGTAGTAATTTGATGAGTTGTGTACTTGTTTGCCCTTTTATACTTTCTTTAGGTTAACAAGGATCAAATAGCCAAATGGATTTTGTCTTTTCAAGTACATCCTAAGACAGACAATGAATTAGATAATGGTGAGTTTTCCTCAGTACTTATGTAATAAAGCTCTCAAGATAGCTAATTCATATTTTTCAGATGCAATATATTCATTATATGACAATTTATATGTTTTTAGGACAATTTTATGGATTCTGTGGCTCTAGAACAACTCAGTTTCCCTCAACTAACATGAAGGTAGATGTGGCTAATTCTCAAGTCAACCCTTTTTTTTTTCACACATATCAATTTGTCATTTAATTTTTACATTCTGACAGTTTGAAATATGAATTCATGCCCTTCCTCAGGACCCTTGCCACAATGGTAGTCATCTTGCAAGCACTTATTCTGCCCTTGCTATCCTGAAGATTGTAGGTTATGATTTAGCAAACATTGATAACAAGGTTCTTTTGTCCTCAATGAGAAACCTCCAACAGCCAGATGGAAGGTATGCATTTTAGTTTTGGTCTCCATGCTAATTATTCTTGTAATTATCCTCCAAAAATATCTATGCATTTACATCTGCTACCTGTGTTTAGTTTTAACTGTACCACCAAAAGAGTTTCAGCCAACTCACATTCTGTCTTAAGATTTCATAATACCCCATAGTTGGCCCACCTCCTTGATTATTTTTTGTATGTGTTGATTGCTACCTTTCCATTTGCATATGTTTTCTCTGCATGAATTTAGTCATGCCATGTCGTTCGACAAACTTGATATTGGTAAATACCTCCTTTCTGGTATATCTCTGTATTGTTGGTCAGTCTTCAAGCTTGTTCAATCAGAATGTTAATTAATGTGCTGTGATCCTAACTGCATGCATGTGATAGAGGTGTTTGTGCATGTGCAATGCAATCTTGCTTGCCTGTGAGCATTTCATTGATTTCACTAAGATGGCTTCCATGGTTCCATTCTGCAAACAACTAAACTCCACGCACCGCTTAAATGCATTATCTTATTGGCCAACTTGAGAAGCATTTTTTTTTTAGCTTCATGCCTACTCATATTGGTGCGGAAACAGACCTACGCTTTGTATACTGTGCAGGTGGGTTGCACTGTCATTTATATTTAGTATGCTTTCAATTTTATCTTTGTTTGAAATAACTTGACACACTTGTGTTGTCTTCTCAGCTGCAATCTGCTCGATGCTAAAAGATTGGACAGGAATGGACAAGGAAAAGGCCAAGCAATACATTCTTAGTTGCCAGGTTGGCTTACAACAATTCCTGATGCACTTGGTTTTGAGACACCAGTGTTTTGCACCATGCTATTTAAAATCCTTAATTCTTGTTTCTACCACATGCAGTCATACGATGGTGGCTTTGGCTTGGTTCCTGGTTCAGAATCTCATGGTACAGCTTCTTTTAACCTTTGATGTGCTTCTTGTCCTACTGAGTTTGTCATTTCATGTGGCAGTTTTCTTCAGAGTTTCAGAATGCAATAATTCAGCTAAATTTTTGTTTTATTTTTTTGGAGTCGGTTATGGGTACTCATTGTTTGTCTTTGTGTTAGTGAGTCAGGTGGAGGGACATTCTGTGCTGTTGCAGCTTTGTGCCTGATGGGTTTCATTCAAGTTGATTTGGCATCAAATTTACAAGAACCATCATCAATTGATGTACGCTTGCTCCTGGAGTGGTGTCTTCAGGTTAAATTCTGCTCAACCATATATATCTGCTATTACCATCAAAATCTGCCCTTTGATGTGATTTATAGGACTAACATATATTTCCAAAACTGGACAGACACTATATGCAGTACACCAACCCGTTTTAAATGTTTCTAATTTAGTAGATATATGCATCAACCATTCAATTTTCATTTATTCATGATGGAGAAGTGCAGCTTGCTCAATGACACCACACCATCCAGTTGTTTTTAAAATCTCCCTTATGTAGAGTAAAAAAAATGTGAATCATAAACGGATTTAGTTAGAAATGATTAATAAGGACTAGGACGACTTTACTAGTAGGGAATCTTAACTGTTTTCACTATTATCATATAGAGACAAGCGGCAGACGGAGGTTTTCAAGGAAGAAGGAACAAATCCAGTGACACATGCTATGCATTTTGGTAAATACACCATTCAGAGTTATATATACTAATTGCCTGACAATCAAATAGCAAACTTGGGTAATCTGTCTTGCTGCCAATCAACACTCTGCAGGATTGGAGGTGTCCTAAAGATCATCGGTGCATACCGCTTCATTGATCATGGTGCTTTGCGAAGTTTTTTGCTCTATTGCCAATCACCTGTAATGACTTCCTCTCTAATCAGCTTAATTTCTCACATTGATCAAGTTGCATCTTTACTGATCATGTATGCCCTTGTTTACCATTGCAACAGTATGGAGGTTTTACAAAGTTTTTGTACGATCAATTCCCGGATATCTACCATTCTTACTATGGACTTGCCGCTCTTTCCTTGCTGGAAGAGGAAGGGCTGGAGCCACTCTGCACCGAACTGGGGATCCTCTCTGCTGCATTGTAGCTTGGAATTGATTGTTCATCTTCTGTATTCAGTCAAGTTATGGTGTTCTTTAAAGTCCATTCTTGTAATCTAATACAACATACAGCTGAAAAGAATGCAAGTAATCTATAGAGTTCGTTTGTTTGTTTGGGTAGGCAGGTCATGCAACATTGTCTTGGATAATATGATTGTGAAGTACAGAGGAGCATTCTGTAAAGGCTATTTCATTTTCAGTTAGTCGAACTAACTGATATTCTGATAGACAGTTGAGTTGGCTGAGCAGTTCTATCACTTGGAAAGCTATTGAAAACAACTCATGTAACAGCTGAACAAAATTATCATCTTTATTCTGTTTCTTGATGTGCTTCCTATGTATCACTGATTAATTCTGGTAGTTGTAGATGCTGATATACACACACAGACACACAATTTCTTTTCTTTTGACAGGCCATCAGGTTAACAGCATAATACTTGTGATTGAGAACAGAGAGAGAAATGAGAGATTTTTTTTTACTGAACCTGCGTGTCTGAACTCTTCTGAAGATAAAATTGAAAGTTGCAGTACTGAACTGAATTTGCAGCAGATCACATGGATGATATTGGCGGGAGAGCCGGCTCAGTCAGCTGCAGCTGCCATAACTGCCACCGCCACCCCCACATCCACTCCGATTCATTGCGAATTCAGTTTGATCAGTGGTTGGTCGGTTGGCCAGCCTCCCATCCACCGGAATTCTCAAATCGGAGCAAGCAGCCTACTGATTGCGATTGCATCCTCTGATCTGATCTGCTGATGCGAATGCGAGCAGTAATCAACAGCGTAGTAGATTCAGTCCACGCGCCCATTAAAGCCAAGCCACTGTCCTTGTCCATCTTTGTCCAGGCCTCGCGTTCCTCGGTTCCTCCTCCTCCTTGCTAGCTGCTGCTGAGTGCTCGGCGATGACGGGCGTCGGGTCGGCGGTGCGGCGGCTCTACCTCTCCGTCTACAACTGGGCCGTCTTCTTCGGATGGTACTCCGCCGCCTCGCGCCGCCGCCGCCTGCTGGTGTTTGGATCTCTCGTTTTCTTGGCTTGATTTGGGGGGGTTTCTTGGATCTTGCAGGGCGCAGGTGCTGTACTACGCGGTCACGACGCTGCTGGAGAGCGGCCATGAGGCCGTCTACGCCGCCGTCGAGCGGCCGCTGCAGTTCGCGCAGACCGCCGCCTTCTTGGAGGTCTGGTTTTTCTGCTAGTCTGTGCGCTCTGACTTATTTCTGAATTTTAATCGAGTAAAACTGTACTCCCTCCGTCCAAAAAAAAAAAAGACATACCTGGGTTTCCGTGTCCAACGTTCGACTGTGTCAGTCTTATATGAAATTTTTTATAATTAGTATTTTTATTGTTGTTCGATAATAAAACATGATTAATACTTATGCGTGACTTATTTTTTAAATTTTTTTCATAATTTTTTTAAATAAGACGGACGGTCAAACGTTGGACACGAAAATCCAGGGTTTGTCTTTTTTTTTTTAATGGAGGGAGTAGGTTTTAGCTCGAGCTTGTATAATTTGGGCAGCTCTGACTTCATTTTGAATTTTCCGTCTACCCAATTAGGGTTGCTACCTGTTGAGCAATGGCACAGAGGGAAAAAAAAATTAATCCCCTTTTGCGTTCTAAAAATCAACCAAACATTTAGCCTGAGAGAAATATTACCAGTGTTATAGCAAAATATACTGCAATTAATTCAACTTCATTGTTATGTTTCTGCTGCCTGATGGTGGGGATCCTCTCCCCCGATAATTCTGCTAAAAAGAAAAGAAAAATTTCTGCTGCCCTAGCAGTACTTTGTGTTATATTCCTTGTAGTTCCCTAGATAAGGAAGCATTTATATTCTTTGCACGGAGCGGCTGAACGAGTCCGCGGTGAACATAGAATGAACGAACATTCCATGTTTATTTCATTTCTTTGTTTTTTTCGCCGGGATGGCGAAGAATGCCGACCGATGTATATTTCATTTCTTTGCAAATTGTGTTTTGTGAGGTACTGAGCATTTTTGTGTTTGTTTGGCGATGGCGTTGCTGGTGGCTCAGATTCTTCATGGGCTTGTAGGTAAGAAGTTGTTCTTCTCTTCTACTTATGTTATTTTCACTATCCTGGTCATCATTTGGAATTGTACGGTTCCTATCTATAGCGTGCAGCACGCAAACTCCATGGAAATAGAGTAATAGACTTTCTCGTTAGAAAGCATGCCAAAGACATATTTCAATTTACAGGAAGTGTCCTGTTAGATTAGAGAAACAATTGTACCTTATAAATTCACTTTTATGACACTTCTCATTTTTATCACCTGTATAACATGCTGACTTTGTTTTAAAGGTTTGGTGAGGTCTCCAGTCTCTGCAACTCTTCCACAAATTGGATCAAGGTTGTTTCTTACCTGGGGCATCCTGTGGAGCTTTCCAGAGGTATCATCGACTATCACTAATAAGTGTTGACATGCTACGTTCATGCTACTTCTCCTAAGCATTTACTGTTTCGCCGAGACATTGAAACATGACATAATTTTGGGTTTAAAGCATTGTCTAAATAGAAAATACGGATCATATAATTTGATTTTTATATGAGGGCTGGACACTAGGTAGTTTGTCTGTTTTATGTCTGGTTGTGGATCAAGTAAATAATGGTGATGATTGTACAAGTTACTAAATGGCATAACTACTGGTACTGATATGCAAATGCAGTGTCTTTACTTTTGCATCCCTAGTTTTCTGTTAGTTGTATGCTTGTAGTGTAGCTTAACACATGGTTTCATGACATATATATTGATTGATCCCTTTGTACATTTGTCTTGCAGACACATTCACATATCCTTGTTACTTCCTTGGTCATAAGCTGGTCCATCACTGAGGTATATTTTGAAGACTCACTTCTTAAAGAGACACGACATTTTCCAAATTATAATTTTGATTTCTCCTGGGCTAAGCTTATTCACACCAATATTTAAAATATTGTGCATTTGATAGCATAACGTGATGGAAATATTTGTGGTTCCTTGTAGATCATTAGATATTCCTTCTTTGGCATGAAGGAGACATTCGGATTTGCCCCTTCCTGGCTCTTATGGCTGAGGTTAGTAAAGAAGATACATCATTATTTAGCATAAATTTAGAGAGAATGCTTTTCTTTTTCTTTCATAACTTCTTTTCTTAAACCTGGTGCTGATTTTGTACAGGTATAGCACCTTTATGGTATTGTATCCTACTGGTATCAGCAGTGAGGTCGGTTTAATCTACATTGCCTTGCCTTACATGAAGGTAACAAGAATGAACTTCAGAAATGAAGATCTCCATGTTGTTCAGGCTCATTGCATAATGCGTAATGCGTATTTAACTGCTCCTTTCCTGTGACTGCTATGCAGGCAACAGAGAAATATTGCCTTAGGATGCCCAACAAATGGAACTTCTCCTTTGATTTCTCCTATGCATCCATTCTTTCTCTCGCCGTCTACGTGCCCGGTATCCCCTCCTGCCTTGCAGTCGTCCTTTATTCAGTGATTGAAATTATTTTTATAATTGCAATTGTTGTTTCTTAGTAACTGGGATTTGATAGGTTCTGACAAGAACACTGCGTTGCAGGATCGCCTCACATGTTCACCTACATGCTTGCCCAACGGAAGAAGGCATTGGCAAAGGCTAAGGCTGCATAATGGTGATGCTCAAGAGCTTTCTTGAATTTGTCACTTGTGGCTTAAGGATCTGCCTAAATAGCTCACATTTGCTACTCTTTTAGTAGAAGTCTGTAGATGAGGACATGTTGGAAAGAACTACTATTACACTGCCCATCATTTGTTGTAACTGTAGTCTTCTACCAAGAATTCTAGATTTTACCTGGTTAAATTATTGAATGATTGATCCAAAATTTACCAGCTTGTTTCAAATTGCACTCTTTTTGCGTTTGCTGTTAGCCTGTTATGCTGTATGTTGCACACTTTGCACTGCGTGCTATAGAGAATTGGCATATTTGCATATTTACTGGTTTGCAATTATGAGTCCCATTGTTTCACTTATGCTTATAAATAAATTGATTTTGTGATTTTCTCTTCACAGCTTATTTTACAACATTTGCTTTTGAATCACTAAGAGCACGAATATAAAAGTTTTTATGCATAATTATTTTTAAATTGCTAATAAGCGGTTCGAGTAAACATAAACATAAAGGCAAACGATAAGGCCGTATGATTTGAAGTAGTTAGCTAAATTTCTTTTGAAAAAAAAGGAGCCAAATTTCAACCTTACAAAAACCATCGAAAACGCTATGAAAAATCCCCCAAAAAATAATTTCATGCGCAGTTGATTAACCCGCCGCCGCACACGCCTCCCCCGTACTATCCGACGCTTCTCTTCAGTAATCTGTAGTCCATGGCCATGTCGTCCTCGAGCAGGTCGTGGCGCTGCTGTGGCTTTGAATCCATCTGATGGGATCCGAGGCGCAGCGAGTGGCGTGGATGGGGGCAGTTCGGGATCGGGGACGCGACGCCGACGCGGATCTGGGTAAGTCCCCTGCAGCGAATCTCGCAAAATCTGCGTGCGAAAATGTGGCTGATGGCATGGATCATGCGCGGATTCAGTTGGTCTCGGGTAGTTTCCCGGTGTGTTCAGATTCAGATCATGCGCAGATATTACCCCTGTTACATCAGCTGCCTTGTTTCCAGTTCGTTGAGGCAATTTGTGGCACTAACTCAACACATGAGCTTGTTGAAACAGTATTATCAATTGGAATTCGGAGAGTTGCTGATCTCTCCCTCTCCCTGTTCCTCGTAGCTACATTCTTGCTATCCACGATGGCTGATTGCTATTGGTTGTTGATGTTAACTGGACCTCGATGCATACATTACATGTTTTTGAGATGCGTCAGTCATGCTCTTTGAGGAATCTATACACGTGTTACCTGTTCTTAGGAATAAAGTAAAGATACTTCTTTTCTGAAGCCTGATAAAAAAAACATGACCTTTGAATCAAGCTTGTGATCTCTTGGATAACAAACTCTTTCTACCACCTAGTTATGATTTATTAATATGACATGGCTTACATTTACACAGGTGAAGATGAAAAGAGAAAAAAGGGAAAATGAAGCAGCTGATGTATCTGTCTTCTTCCCTTCTTTGTTGTGGCGAAATGTGTTGATCACATGGATGAATTGGTTGGGTGGCGGACAGTTGCAGTAGCAATGACTGTCACTTTGTGCTGCCAACTATTTATTTATCCGATTTGATCCCCCGATCTGATGCTTATTAATCAATTGGAACAGTGGTTAGCCTTATTCCCTTAATCCCATCCATGTCTGAGGAAGCTGCTGCCTGTCAATCAGGACTCTAATATTTTAGTGCTTCTGATGCTATGATAGTGTGATTTGCATGCACATCGGATTTGTTGATTAGATTATCCTGGTCAAAGCCATTAGCCATGACGTTAAAGCCAAACCCATCTCCTCGACGTCTTCCTCCTCCATCTCGCAGCTCTGCAATGGCAGCGGATGGTTCAGTGCTCCGGAGGCTCTACTTCTCTGTCTACAACTGGGTTGTCTTCATCGGATGGTCACTTCTAGCATCTTTGTCTGCTGGTATTTCTTGGATTGGACACTCAGGGTGTTGTTCTGATCAGGGTTCTTTGGTTTTGGATCATGCAGGGCTCAGGTGTCATTGTCCATGATCTTGGCGTTGTTGGATGACGGGCATGAGGCCGTCTATGCTGCTATCGAGCGGCATCTGCTGTTTGCACAGACTGCTGCCATCATGGAGGTCTGGTTTTCCTCACTTTTAGCTTTATTATCATTGCAAAACTGTGAATGCAGCTCTGCAATTTATTTATTTCATTCCACATGGAGATTGAGAGGTGCTAAACTTTTTTGTGTTTTGCTGCTTGGCTGGTGATGGTATTGCTGGTAGTGCAGATTCTTCATTCCATTCTAGGTACGAAGTCCCCCCCCCCCTTTTTTCTTTGTAAAAAAAAAAGAGAAGAAGTCATTTTCTTCTTCCTAATATGTTCTTTTTGTTATCCTTGTCAACTGTGAATTGTAGTTACCTGCTAGGTATGGCTGTCTTGTTCAAACTTTATGTTAACAGACTTTCTGGCTAACCCTCAATCTGGAATGTAGAAAATACTAATGTAGTTCCTGTTAGATTGAACTATTTCCTACAACAATATTGCTTATCACTGTATTATGAATTGTTGAAAAGGATTGGTGAGGTCTCCAGTGTCTTCTACTCTTCCACAAATTACTGGAAGGTTGTTCATTACCTGGGGCATCTTGTGGAGCTTTCCTGAGGTAATATCAGACCTTACTCAAGTTATTTGATAGTTTTTGTCTTGAAAATAAGTTTTGGATTAGAAAACACTTGCTAAAATGAAAAAAAAAAGTATGTTAGGTAATGTTTCTGCTATTAGAACTAATTTTATACTTTCATTTATGATCATAATGACTCTGAGTAAGCACTGGACAAACCTAAGTTGCAGAAATTGCACGAGTAATTGATGCCATTACATCGTGAAGGATAAGATAGTTCTCTTCCGTTCTGCACCCCAAGTTTTCTATTTTCTGTATTTAAACTTCTAATCAAGTAACCATTGTTTGTAGACAATATTGGTGAGTTACTGTGTGCATTTGTTTTGCAGACGCATTCTCATATTCTTGTTACCCCCTTGATCATAAGCTGGTCCATCACCGAGGTATGTGTTGCCCCCAAAACTAGTCACCAAATTACTCGCTTGGTAGACCATGAATTTCAGATGCAATTTTATTATAAGATGATAAACAACAATTCTTCTTTTTGAAATGACAGTAGTTAAACAACAACTCTGCTTCTTGAAATGACGGTAGTTATTGAAGTTGTTGCCTTAGTCGAACATAGATTATGATTTTTTTTTCTTCATTTCAGAGCATAACTTCGTGGAAAATTTACTATAATTCCTTGCAGGTCATCAGATATTCCTTCTTTGGCATAAAGGAATCATTTGGATTTACACCTTCCTGGCTCTTATGGCTTAGGTTGGTTCTAGTTGTAAACATATCACAATATGTATTAGCATAAGCTTCGAAAAATTGCTCATTATCTTATTAGTAAATTATCTTAAAAAAAATTGCTTCACTGTTTTCATACTGATTTCTTCGCAGGTACAGCACCTTTATAGTATGCTATCCTGTTGGTATGGTTAGTGAGGTTGGCCTAATCTATATTGCCTTCCCTTTCATGAAGGTAACCTGAATAACTTAGAAAGGAAGAGCTCTACCTCCATTTGATAAGTGACAACAATCTTGTTTAAATGCTCTTTTGTTTTGGATGATCAATGTCAGGCATCTGAGAAATACTGCATTGGGATGCCCAACAAATGGAATTTCTCCTTCGACTACTTCTATTTCTCTACTTTTTTGATGGCTTTGTACGTTCCAGGTAGTATTCCATGCAATTGTACTTCATTTATTAATTGATGCTACGATCATGTACTAGGTTTTTTTCAATAGGATTTTCTGAAAGGAAACTAAGTAAGATTTGATGGCATACTACCTTGTTTCATTTCATGAATGCAGTATTTCCATACTTGTTGCGCCATATGGTTGCCCAGCGGAAGAAAGCCTTGTCAAAGGCAAAAACCACATAACTACTCAAGAGTTATTTTTTGCTGGGTCGGCCAAAGGTTAGCCGACCAATTTCATTAAGATTTTGGGGGAAAATACAGTAAAATGTTACAACGGCATTACAATGCCACGGTAGCCAGGGAAGGACCCCAACCAACCAAGAACGAGAAATGAAAGCAGGGCTAAACCCCGCGGACAGTCATGGCGATTACTCGCGAAATTTGATTTCTGATTTCTGATCACAACCATGGCTCAGGATGCTACCATTTCTGGAACAAAGAAGCAAAGGTTACTAGAATGGAAATGCTAAAATACAATTATACAAGGATTATCTTTTCCCTTGGTAAATTAGAATGTATGCAAGTACCATTCTCATGGCTTGCTAATGGTGTGTTGTACCAAATATGGGCGTTTCCATCTGTAAATAAAATTGTACTCCATAGTCCATATGGATGCTGAAAAATGATATTTAGATGTTCTGCTTTTCAAGGATGAAGAAGGCTACTGTCACCATTTGATTTACCATATTGGATGTGATGAAATGGGGCCAGATCAATGAATGGAGACAACTGCATCCGATCATTCTTGATTATTATTTTTTAGATGAGTCATTCTTGATTTCTTCCTTACTCTTATCCATCGATCCATCCAACTGCTGAAATGTGTATCATTTTCACAGATTGTCTAAGCCATATAGTACTAGTTGGCTGTTGAATGATAATGGCCTTCCGATGTATAGCAGCAGAAGCAAAGGAGGATCATATATGTTGTCTGAAGATTCATCCCCACTCTTAATGAAATTGGTCGGCCAGCCTTTGGCCGACCTGGCAAAAAAACAAATTGTCTGAAGAACTGTAGATCTGTTCTTGGAGCATTTTGGCCCCTGTGCTCTCACAATAAAGAAGTATGCAGACAATGTCATTTAGTATATTTTTATCGTAAATGTTCCTCTAGTTGTGCACTCAAAATACTAGGTGAAATCATTAGACAAATCATTTTTTTAAAAAGAAAATAGTATAATACAAAAAGAAAAATTGCTCAAGTGACCGGCAGCATCAGGCCTAAAATATCACCATAGCGAGATTTTCTTCCGTCCTTCTTTCTGGTACCGGTCTTCATCCAGCTGTTGATTGCTGAGGGGTACGATGGGCATGAGGCGCTTTCGCGTGTGGTCCGCTATCCATCTCTATCTCGCTATCCCTTCTCTATCCCGTGCGCTAACCCTTCTGCATCTCACGCTAGGTGGGGCCGCCGCACGACACGGGAGAAAAACTCAAGGAGGAGGGCGACCCCATCCACCGCACCGGTTGCAGGCACGCAGCAAGGCCGACCCCATCTGCAATCATCTCGGAAGCACTGCCGCTGCATGAGTCGTCACCGTGGTCGTAGGTGTCATCGCCGCAAAGGGAAAAACAACAGGGGAAGACGTCGGGGTCGAGACTCAAGGCTAATAGATGCGGCGCAGCCAAAAAATGGATGCCGCCGCCGCCGTCGTATTTTCCGCCACGCGCCGCCGTCGGGAACAAGCCTAGGGTTTTGCTACTCTGCGGCCCTTCCCCAACTCGACTAAACCTTCCTCCGATCCAAACATCCTTGCAAACGCGAAAATACGATTATACCCTTCCACCGTTGCTAACTAGAGCTACCCACCCCACGACCAAGCTAGGACCTCGAGGTACCATGCAATCGTGACCATTCGATCGGGCATCACCAACGGACAGGATTTTAGTACCTCACAGTACTAGTACCTTGCGGTACAAAAAGAAGGACCGAAGCAATGCTCTTAAAAGAAGATTAACTTATGTTACATCATGCCTAGCCACAATGGTCAACAATTACCTTAGATTACAAAAGGTAAATTAGAGAGTGTCATCCTCGCTCTAGCTTTTACCTAGAGCCTAGCCTCCTCGCGAATAGCCACGATGAGCAATGTCCAGTCCTTGCCTTTCCGGTTGAAAACTCTATTGTTACCAGCATATTGCTCGTGTATTGTAATGGAATTTTAATTAAAGAAAATTATCATTAACATGTTATTACCATCTCTTAATTTGTTTAATTTGTTGTACATATTTATTACTCACATATGGACTTTTTTTAAGCTCACAATATTTTTTTTCCTTCCCACAAAAAATAAAGAGTTGATGGGAGTAGTCGATATGTGACCCTCTAACCCCACATGTCATTTATTTTTCTTAAAAAAAGTTAGAGTTGGTAGTGGGGTGGTGGCAGAACCACCACCATCACTATTCCTTTTTATAAGGAGTATAGATGCTCCTTTCATAACATTCAAGCTAGAAGCGACTAGGATGACCAACATGTCGTATCCTCTCGGGAAACAATCTTCTCCCTTGTGGCGAACCATCCCAAGTCGAATGTTGGCTTGTTGGGCTGTGTTATATCTTCTGAGTTGCACACCTGCATTGAGTGCTATAAAATGACATATTTACTGGTTTGCAATTAAGGTGAACTAAAATTCTTGTGAAAAAAACAAGAGCCTCAATCCTAAAAAAAAATCATCCAAACGGCTATGAGAAACCCCCAAACAACAGTGCACGGCACAGAATCACCAGTCTGATCTTGTTGTCTCCATAAAAAAAAATTAAAAATATACATTTTTTTCACTTGATTTTATGGAAATATACATGTTTAAAATGAATTAGCAGAAATATACCATTATCACAGTGGGGTGGTGCGAATTTGCCACGAGTTCACGTGATGAGTGTGCAAACTCGTAACGTGTTTGTGATGTCATCACGAGTTCGTGCGGTGAGTACGCAACCTTGTAGGATTAATTAACTTATCATTATTTTTGTTTAATTACCATTATTAGCAATTAATTAACAATTATTCCATCAATTAATTCACCAGACCGCATTCTCTTTTTTTTTGCTATTATTTTCAAACATGTATATTTATTATGTAAAACTGGTGTGAAAAAAAAGTATATATATATTTTTAAAAAAATTGGCGGTTTCCATGGCCGGCGACCGCCACCACATCTCCTGCTCCTCTCATGAAGCAGGTCGAGGGGCCTCCCATCGGATCTGGGTAAGCCCGCGTCTCGAATCTTGCAGAATCTGCGTGCAACATGCGGGTGATATGCACACAAATCTTGCGTTGATCTTAGTTGAAGATCTCTTCGTTCTCAGTGTGTTCTTTTGGGTGGTCAGATCATGCACAAATTTATATGTCCTGAATTCCTGATGGTGTGGTAGTAGTGCGATTTGACTGCACGTCGACTGGTGGATGGATGAGATATTGAGATTATCCTGGTCAAAGCCATTAGCCATGAATCCATCATGTTAAAAGCCAAGCACCATCTCGAAGTCTTCTTCCTCCTCCATCTCTCGCAGCTCTGCAATGGCAGCGGATGGTTCAATGGTGCGGAGGCTCTACCTCTCTATCTACAATTGGGTCGCCTTCATCGGATGGTCAGTTCAACTGCCTACTGTTTGTTGAGTTTCTGGATGGATATCGATTTTTTATTTTGAGTTTCATATATTGATATAGCAGGAGAAAAATACAAATCTATAGTCAGGAAAGAAAAACAACCACACCACGCGTCTACAATAACACACTGCCGCGAGAGTGAAAACATTGCCCTCTAGCATCTTTGTTTGCTGGCCATTTCATGGGCTGGACAGCCAGGGTGTTGTTTTTTATCGGGGTTCTGAATTTGATTTGGATCAATGCAGGGCTCAGGTGTTGTGCTACATGACCTTGGCATTGCTGGATAAGGGACATGAGGCCGTCTATGCTGCCATCGAGCGACCTCTGCTGTTCACGCAGACTGCTGCCATCTTGGAGGTCCTGGTTTTTCCTAGTTCTTTACCTTTATTTATCAGGGAGAATTGGAGATTGAGAGGTGTGCTAAAATTTTTTTGTGTTCTGTTGTTTGCCTGATGATGTTGTTGCTGGTGGTACAGATTCTTCATTCCATTGTAGGTGAGAAATCTTTTTTTCTTTTCCTTCGTTGAAAAGAGACTTGTTTTTTCCCCCTTCTCTGAATGTTGTTTTTTGTCATCTTTGCCAACTGAGAAGTGTAGTTTCCTGCTTGGTATGTCTGTCCTGTGCAAACTTTATGGAAACAGGCTTCCAACCCTTAATCTGGATTGTAGAGCATACTGATATGTTCAATGCCTAGATGACAAAACTTCAACATGGGCTACCGCATTCTATTATTATTATTTTTAAAATTGTACTACAAAAGAAAGGGACTAAAAAGGATTTCTGATTGAGCCTAAAAGGCTAATTACCATCTGGTAGCTCTTCATTGTTAGGCGGCCTAAGGTTTACTACCTTGATGTTGTGTTTTAGTTGTTCATGCTGAATTAGATCGTGGTAGATGGTAAGTTCTGGTATGTGCACGATAAAAGATATGCTGTAATTTTGGTGAATGTGTCTACTTTCACATTTGTGCAGTATAATATGTAGCTCAGCTTACCTCTAGCCTCCTTTTCAATCATTTGAGATCATTATGATACAAGCAATAATCTAGAATTTGAATAAAATCAAGAGAAGCCTCAACTTTGAGAAGATCATATTGTTAGCTTCTTCCTAGGAGAGAAAGGAAATGTCCTATTAGACACAATTATTTACCCCAAAAAATATTGCTTATCACTGTAATCTGAATTGTTGAAAAGGGTTGGTGAGGTCTCCAGTGTCTTCTACTCTCCCACAAATTACTGGAAGGTTGTTCATTACCTGGGGCATCTTGTGGAGCTTCCCTGAGGTAATATCAGGACCTTACTCCAAGTTATTAGATAGTTTTTATCTTAAAAACAAGTCCTGGACTAGAAAGCACTTCTTAAAATAATAAAACATACTATCTTTTCAGGTTATAAGACTTTCTAGCACTGCCCACATGTGTCTAGATTCATTAACATCTATATGAATGTGGGCAATATGTCTAGATTCATTAACATCTATATGAATGTGGGCAATGCTAGAAAGTTTTATAATATGAAAAGGGGGAAGTAGATGTTAGGTGATGTTGCAGCTATTAGAAATATCCATACTTTCATTTATGATCATAATCCTCTGAGTAAGCATTGGACAAACCAAAGCGGCAGAAATGGCATAAGTAATAAAGCTGATGCAACTACATCGTGGAAAAGGATAAAACAGTGCTCTTTCCTTCTGCGTCCTACTTTCCTACTTCCTATATTTTAACTTCTATAATCAAGTAATTGTTTTGTTTATGAACAATATCGGTGAATCACTGTCCACATATGTTTTGCAGACACAGTCTTATATTTTTGTTACCTCCTTGCTCATATGCTGGTGCATCATTGAGGTATATGTTACTCCCTAAAACTTTTCACCAAATTACTCGCTTGGAAGACGATGAGTTTCAGATGAAATTTTATTATAAGATGATAAGGAATAATTCTGCTTCTTGAAATGACAGTAGTTGTTGAAGTTCCTGAAAGAAAATCCCAAGCTTTTGGAAGTTCCTGTGTTGAGCTTAGTTGAACAAGTATTATGAAATTTTCTTCACTTCAGAGAATGAAGTGAATTACTGATTCCTTGCAGGTTACCAGATATTCTTTCTATGGCATGAAGGAGTCATTTGGATTTACACCTTCCTGGCTCTTATGGCTTAGGTTGGTTCTGGTTGTAAACAAACCATACTAATATGTAGCATAAACTTCAAATGAAACTCATTATCTGATCATTGAATTCTCTTAAAAGTAATTCTTATTATTTTCGTACTGATTTCTTCGCAGGTACAGCACCTTCATAGCATGCTTTCCTGTTGGTGTGGTTAGTGAGATTTGCCTAGCCTACACTGTTCTTCCTTTCATGAAGGTAACTTTGAATAACTTAGAAAGGAAGAGCTCCGGTTGCATTTGATAACAATCTTGTTCAAATGCTCTTTTCTTTTGCATGAGCAATATCAGGCGTCTGAGAAATACTGCCTTAGGATGCCCAACAAATGGAATTTCTCCTTCAACTACTTCTATGCCAATGTCTTTTTCATGGCTTTTTATGTCCCAGGTAGTATTTTATTTCCTGCAATTGTACTTCATTTAGTAATTGATGATATAATCAAGTATCTTTTTTTTTTAAAAAAAAACTAGGATTTGACGGCACACTGCCTTGCTGTTTCATTTCATGAATGCAGTGGTTCCATACTTGTTTCACCATATGATCGCCCAGCGGAAGAAGGCCTTGTCAAAGGCAAAAACCACATAACTCTTACAGTGATAGATAAATTTGGGGAATTTACTGTGTACTATTGACTTAGGGTCAAGGACTACATATAATGTATACAAGAGATGAAAAGACACATATACCCTTTAACACCCCCACTCAAATGCAATGTGTATACAACAATACATTTGGAAGGTACAACTAAACTAAAACCAAAATATAAGCTTAAAGATATTGTCGAAGCATGTAAGTCTTGATGATTAAGTAGGAAAGATGCATCCCCTCCTCAATGAAGTGGACCTCGAGGCTTTCACAAACTGTTCTTCAGCCCTTGGTACCATGAAGCCTTCACAAATTGTTCTTCGGCTCTTCAAAGATTTGGAGTAGGTTGAGACAATCCAGCTCCGGTGGGAGCTGCTGTTGTTGTTGGTGATGATATAAAAGACTCATACACTTAGACAAATTGAAGATATGAAATTGACTTGGATAGATTTGACGGATAACAGAAGACTTGAACTGAACTGAAGGACAGATATATACTATAGCAGCAACAACCTTTTTCTCCAAACAGCAAGCAAAAGCAACAAGTAGGAGATGGCAGCAAAAGTGGTAGGCGAAGATGACCTCACACTTAGAGGCTGTAGCGCCCGTTCCGTCGTGGCGCCTAGCGGAAAAATTATCTCTTAAAAACCCTAATTGCGAAATTGTTTCCTTGCTTGTTGTCTAGTGTCCATGCCATCTCAGATCTCAAATCCCCGATCTATCGTCGAGTTCAATCCCGAATCCAAATCCTTCCAAATCAAATCCCTCCACAAAAGTCTATTTTGCCTCCCCCGGGGTCGATGGGCCGAATCTCTCTCGGCCCACCTCCCCCCTCCCTCCCGGCGCTCTCTCTCTCTCTCTCCCTCTCTCTCTCCCTCCTCCTCCGCTCTGCCCGCGCGCGTGCGCGTGACCGCTCGCGCCGAGCGCGCTCCCTTCCCCTCGCTCTGCCCGCGCGTGCGCGAGCGCCCCCTCCCCCTCGCTCTCCTTCTCCCCATCCCTGGCGAGCTCCCCGCCCGCGAACCCGGCCCCCGCGCGCCGTTGTTCGCGCACGCGCCCGCGTGGTCGTCGCCCGCGTCGCGCCTGCGCCGTCTGCGCCGCCCGGCCCCGCTGCCCTGCCGCGCCTGCAGCCGCTCGGCCCCGCAGCCAGCGCGCGTGCCCGAGCCGCGCCACTCAAACCGCCGCGTCTCCCGTTGCAAGCCGCGCGCGCGTGCCGTGGTGGCCGACCGCTTGGTCGCCGCCGTCGTCAGCGCCTGCCCGCGCCTGTCGCCCGTGTCGCCGCTCCGCTCCACACCGCCCCGCCGTCATCGCCGTCGTCATCGCCTCAGCCCCGCCACTCCGCGCGCAAGCCGCCAAGGGACGGAGGCAGAGCCCTCCTCCCTCTGCCGCGACGCCCCCGCTCCCCTCCTCCTTTTCCCAAAGCGGCAAGGAGGCAAGCCCCCTTTCTCTCCCTCATTTTCCCCTTTTTCCTCCCGCCGGCGTCATCCTCCCTCCGCCCTGTCGCCGATTTGGACGCGAGCGCCGAGCGCCAGCTCGCGCCTTGACCGCCCAAAGTCGGTTTCCAAACCGACATTGCCGCCCTTTAAAGCCCCGGGCGCCCTCCCTCTCTTCTTCTCTCGTTGTCCCATCGCCTCCACTCCATTGTTGCCGCCCCTCTGTTTCGCCGTCGCCGTTCGTCGTTGCGCGCGTCGGAGGAGCCGGCACGAGCGAGGACGCGGAAGGGGACTCCGGGCGCTCGTCTCCTTCCTCTTCCCCGGCCCGAGGCCGGAGAGATTACTCCCGAGCCGTCGGCCTCTCGTCACAGCGCCCCTCCTCATCTCGGTAGTGCCTCCCTTCGTTCTCCCTCCTCGCTCCATCTCTCCCCCTTAGTTTTCGGTAGTAGCACGAGTAGCCTCCCCGTAGCAAGCCGGCGCCGCCCCGACCATTGCCGCCGCTCGCCGTGTGCTCGCCGCCGTCGCCGCCCGTGCTCCGTAGCACCCGCTCGTCGCCGGCCTCGCTCGGCGTAGCTCCGCTCAATCCGACGCTAGCAACGGATTCCCGTAGCCGCGTAGATGCTCTCACCACCGGGAATTGGCCCCTCGTGACCTCGTCGCCGTTTTCCCCTTTTGCTCTCCGCCGGTTACCGCCGCCGCAATCCGCCGCCGACGGACTCCCTCCGGCGAATCCAAGCCGTTGGCTCGCTCCCTCTCATTCTCCCTCGTCATCCCGGTGTACGCCCCGTCACCCCTCATCGTCGCAAGACGCCCCGGAGAAACCGCCGCCGCCCGCCGTCCATTCGCGGCCGGCGCCTTCGTCTTCCTCCCGCCAGCCCGCGTGGCAGCCACGTAGGCGCCACGTCGGCGCCAGCTCGGCCAAAATCGGGTCGGGCCGACCCCGGTCAGCCCCTCCCATGCGCGCGTTCCACCGCGAGCCGTGAGGCTGCGCGTGGGCCCGCCGCATCCATTCCACCGCGAACCACGCGCGTGCACCACATCCCTTCCCCGCCCACGCGCGTGCGCCGCGTGCTCGCTCCGCACGGTGAACCGTGTCACCGACAAGCGGCTCCCACCTGGGACCACGCGTGGTGAGCCCGGTCCACCGGCCCTCTCCCTCCTCCCCTCCCCCGCGCGCGCGCTTGGGCCGCCTTGGGCCGGTCCGCTCCATTTCCCTTGGGCCGCGCCCTAGCCGCCCGAGGAAAAGTCTATTTTCCCTCCCTCTTTTCTTTTCTTTTCTTTTTTTTCAAAAAGGATTTAATTAAATCCTTTTCCTTTAGACCAAAAATCCAATAATCTTAGAAATTCAATATCTTCCCAACCGTAAATCCGTTTGACTCCGTTCAACTTCCAAAATTCATCAAATCTCGAGATCTATCTAATGGCATGCTTAGAGGTCATTAATAGGGCTTTATTTTCGCCGTTTGTTGAGTTGTCCCGTTTCGCGTGTAGTTTCGGAGCCCGAAGACCCGCAGTGCGAGGATTTCGAGGATCAAGCTCCAGATCTCGAGCAAGGCAAGCCACCTTTGAACATCTTGAGCCTATATTTGAAATTTAATTATGTTACTTGAAAAATATTATGCATTGATAGGATCGCACTTAATCTGTTGTCCCGTCTGCAAGGCAGATTGGCGGACCTACCTAATTTGTTGCATTTGATCCTTCCTTGTTAATTGTTATGTCATGTCCCCTTGTAACCATCTAGTTGCGTCTCGATATTCGTGCATCCTGTGCAAGTATCGACGGACGCCTCCAAACTTAAAATCTGAATAACAACTTGGGTAAAACTTGGGTTTTACAAAAGACTTGGAAAACCCGACACCTGGGTCGGTGCTTGCGAACTAAATGAATTTCCAAAACCGCGGACCGGGGAACGTACCGGGTGTACGGTTTCCCGCTCTTGCACTTAAGGACCGTTTCCTTGGAATTTCATCCAAACATAAGACAAGTACGACCACATGGGTGGAATGGGACACCCCTGGCTGAGTAACTAGCTTATCAAGGGAGCCTTGATGCCGAGAGACATGTGGATTCGCCGGGGTGGTGTCGGGGAGGACCCCTGGGCTTCCTGGCACAGTATGGTCTGGGACCTAACCTGTTGGTCTGGGACCCCTCTCGTCGGCATATGATAAACCTGTGTTGGCTTTGGAAATGCCTTGTCATGAAAGCTTGGAGGTCTCCCGACGTGGCTAATCCCCACGGGCTGGGTGATCCGGGTTAGTAATGTCGTGTGGGTAAAGTGTACCCCCTCTGCAGAGGTTAACAAACTGTTCGAACAGCCGTGCCCACGGTCATGGGCGGATGTGAGGTGATTCCTAGCGTAGTCTTGTTTGACTCTTGCTTGTGAAATTGCTGTTGTGGAAAGGGGTTCGATGTTTGAAAGATCTGCAGCTGATGGGATCAGCTAGGCCCGGGTGGCCGTTTGAAAGTTGTTGGCCCGGGTGGCCGTTTGAAAAGTTGTTGGCCGGGTGCCAACCTTGTTTCAATTCTAAAGACTGATACATTGCACATACTCCGACCGGACGAGACGCACTGTCTCATCCGTGTCGTTTGAGAAGCACTCACTTAGTTGTTTTCAGAAAAGAGTTCAAATAAAATCAATTGCAAAAACAACAGCCTTTCCTTGAAACCTATATTAAACACTTATTTCCCATGGCTTGCTGAGTACTCCCGTACTCACCCTTGCTCTATATAAATAATCCCTCCCCCAGTTGCTGAAGAAGATGAAGCGGAACCTGCTAATGAGGAGTTCTTCCAGGAGCAAGCCGACTACGATGAGTTTTAGGGTTTCTGCCTAGTTCCCAAGTCGCGCCTGTGTTGTTTGGTCCAAGTCCTGGCTTCCGTTTCCCTTTTGTAATGCAGTTGTGAGCTCGGGATCTGTCCGCAGCCCAACATGACTGTACCTCTACTCTATAATAAAGAGACCTCTATTGCTGTGATGATCCGTCTTCCTGTGATACCAGCACTGTTTCCTGGGACTGGTATCGATTAACAGGTTAATTTGGAGCGTCACGGGCTAGTTCCGGTCGGTACTAGTTCGGGGCGTGACAGAGGCCTTGGGGACCAACTATGGTGATGGCCATGACCAATCACTGGCTTGGTAAGACGGTCTTGCAACCAATGACTGAGGAGCACATGAGACGGCGCTAGAGGCACTGCCACCAGCACTGGTACTAGAAGGACCAGCAGCAGTGATATCCAAGAAAACAGGAGCACTAGCCGTCGCACGAGGACGGGGGACCGCTGCACGCCTAGCTCGATAATCAGCCAACTTCTCTGGATGAAGATAGAAGCAATCATCGGAAATATGTCCAACCTTCTTGCAATGAGAGCAAATACGATCACTTTTGGCGATGGAACTGAATTCAGGGATCCCGCCCATAGGAGCTCCAACACGCTGAGGTGCTGCCATGACATTGTGAGTAACCACAGGAGTAGGAGTAGTGTCCAAGGAACAAAGACGTGTCTCCTCAGCGATTAGATCTGCAAGAGCCTCCGCCATAGTAGGACGTGTAGGACGTCCAAGCAACTGAACTCGAATGGACTCAAATTGAGAGGAAAGTCTCATGACAAATTGATACACTAGATTTTCTTGATCATGCTTCTCTCTCGCCTTGCATTGTGCACAACCTGAAGCACCTTTTGGAGTCTGTGCCTCAAGCTGTCCAGACAACCGAGTAAAGGCATTATAAAATTCTTCAATGGACTGATCTTGTTGTTGTAAGTTGTGCAAATTCTGCAGCAAGGAAAAACGCAAAGCTCCGCTTTCTTGAGTGTACCTCTGTTTGAGGTAGTCCCACATCTCTTTAGCGGTTGAGTGATCCCTGAAACTCATCCGAATAGGCACCTCTACACTCATGAATATGAATCCCATAACACGATCATCTGCTGTTTTCCACGCCTTAATTTTAGTTGCATCCGTTTTCTCATCAGGAGGATCATCTGTGAGGTGAGATGCTTGACCAATCGACCTCAAAAGCATACGAGCTGAAAGTTCCCATTCTTGATAATTTTGACCATTTAGCTTAATGTCCGTGGAGAGCAAAGCTCCACCTCCAAGAAAGGGGTCGGATGTTGCCATCAAGACCAGCAGAAGAAAATTTGACAAATTGACTGGACAGAGACTTGCTTGCAAGACTTGATGTATTGTCTCCTGAATTAGCACCAGCAGCACACAGCGGCAGCAGTAGTGGAAGAGCAGCAACAACGGCTGAGCGGAGGAACCGCGTGACGAGCGGCTGCAATGAGCGATACACTCACGCGTGATGGACGAATCACACTGACTTGCTGTGAATCCCGCTGCTGATCCGGATGAGGAGGACGTGAAGAAGATTTGCCCGATAGGGAGCCGCCGCCGGCAAGCCGGAGCGCCGGCGGACGACGGGGATCGAGGGCTAGGGTGTCACACCCAGAAATTCTCGAACCAGAATTTCTAAGCTGAATGTGCATTAAATCCCTATCCAGGACCAGCCAGGGTACATAAACGACAATTGTTGACATACAGACCCACGTCTTACAAAAATATAAAAGATTACAAATGCAGCGGGAAAGATAAAAGCGAGCTAAACCGGGAAGCTTGACTTCAGCAGCGGGCAACTCCACTCCACAGGCAAACCTTGACGGCAGCGACGAAACCAACCTCTCTGAGACGGCTCCAACTGAGAAGAACTTCAACTCTGGTATGGGGGAAAAGAGAGCAAGACTGAGTACTACCCACTGTACTCAGCAAGTCATACCGGAAGATGAGGTATGATGCAGGATATAACCAAAGGAAGCTAGGGGTTCTTTTGCATAAAGCAGGCATTTCAAAGCAGTAGTTGAAAGCAGTAAAACAGTTGTAGTAATTAATCAATATTAACCAATCACTGTCCAACGCTACACCACGTTGCAACAGGCCCAACCAACCACCTGAACTACACCAGTTCATTAAGCTAAACTAGGGGTGAGACTAATCACGGTGAATCTGGTTGATCGCCCATAACTGCGGGCACGGCTATTCGAATAGTTTTACTCTGGCCAGAGGTGTACAACTGTACCCACAAGACACGATTCCACACATGTCGCCATGCCCCGAAGTATCACCATGATACTGCAAAGGGGGAAATCGTGACAAGACCCTCCACATAACCCTCCCCTAACCATCCACACCACGCTAAGATTTCACCCCCACCCCTCAAAAGGCAGTGGGCGGTCCCCTCTTGCGCCGCGGTGAATCCGGCAGCTGGACAACCGAACACCTCGGCCGACCCAACTCCATCACGCCTACCCTCGCCACCGGTGCCTAGGAAAGGGTCGAGCTATACTTCAGATCAAGCAGTTACCTACTCCCGCTTGTGGTAAGCACGGTAAGTCTCCCAGGGTTTCCCGTGAACCGGTCCTTAACTGCCATGGGTGCGACCAGCAAAACCATACACTCACAGCCCGCCATTCAGAATATTTTAATTAACTGACACCCTTGCGGTGGCACCAATCTAAAGTTATGCCAATAGTCAGAGTCTATGTAATAATGTGATCCCCATTTGTGTCCTAGTTGAACTAAGCATGGCTAAGCATTTCCTAAGCCAACATCTAGTCATTTTGATACCCAAGTTATCAATGGCATAAGGTAACCAATATGTGGCTGAGGAATAGGACCCATCCCACATTACATTGTAAAAGAATGCAACATTTAATAGAAATGCGGGATATTGGTAAATTGGGTACAATATGATCAAACGTATTGCATGACTTGCCTTGCTCTCGAACTGATGAGACCTCAGCAACGTCTTCGAGAAACCACGGATCGACGAAACGGCCGAAACCTACGCGACAAACAAAGCACACAAGCAAAACATGCTATAAGACTACTGAAACAGGAAACAAAACCATTTTTAATGGATTCTTTGCATTTTTCTTGATTTACTGAGACTTGAATGGACTTAAACGGAGCTCGGATGAATTACTTATGAATTTTAGAAGATAAACTGTGTTTTTACTAATAAAGAAAAAGTCCTTAATTAATTATTGCGCAATAATACCCAGGGCTGACGTCATCCAAGGGGGGGGGGGGGGCGGCGCCGACAGGCGGGGCCCACGGGTCAGCGGCTCAAAGGGGAGAGGAAGGGGGCGCCGGCATGTGGGCCCCACGGGCAGTGGCTCAAGGTGGCCGGTCTACCGTGGACCGGGACCACGCGGGTGGTCCACGGCCGGTCCACGGGACCGACGGTCCAGATCGGCCGGGAGGCCGATCGGACGGCACAGCGGCGGCTAGGCACGGCTCGGCTCGGCTTCAAAACCGGCCGGCCGGCCATGGCAACCGGCGGCGACGCGCACGGTCGCCGGCGACGGCAATCGGCGGCGCGGGAAGCGACGGCGGACGGGGTACAGGACGGCGGCATCGACCGAAGGCGATGGCGAGCGCGTGGAGAGAGGCGGCGCAAACGAGAGAGAGGGGAAGAGGGAGGAGGAGGGGATCCTCACCGGCGAGTATGGCGGCCGGAGCGGAGGATGAAGGTGGCGGCGACGACCTGGCGATGAGGAGGGGCGGACGGGCGGCGGCGGCACCTACGGAGGGAGTTGAGAAGGATTAGGAGTAGAGAGAGTGACCACGGCGGCCACCATTGTTGGCCGGAGACGAAGGAGAATGGATAGCTCACCGGTGTGCGAGGAGAACCGGGCTCCGGTGGGGTTTAGCGGAAACCGAGCGGCGGCCGAGGTGGCTCACGCGGCGGCAATGCTAATGGCGGCGGCGGCTTGGCGCGGCGGCGGCTCTAGCGGCTGCGGCGCGCGACTGGAGGTGGCGGCAAGCGGCGGCTCTAGTGGCGAGCGGCGCGGCGGCGGTAGGAGGCACGGGAGAGCGCGGCGAAAAGGGGAAAAGGGAGAGGGAGATACGGGGAAGCTTTATAGGGGCTCGAGAGGGGCGGACATGGCCGGGAAACCCCCTCGATTTGGCCGGTGACGTGGGGGAGAGAGAGAGAGTGGGGGGGATTCAAATCGAATCCCGCCCATTTGCGGGCGCGCGTGCGGGCGGGAATGGCGGGGAGGGCGGCGACGTGGGGACGCGGAGTGGGGGCGCGGCGTGGAGCGGAGAAGGCGGCGGCGCGGACGGTTTCGGCGGCGGTTGCCGTCGTGGGGCGGGCGGCTGGAGGAAGGGGACGACACCTGTCAGCGTCCCGGAGAGAGGGGAAAGGGAAACGGGCCGGCCCAAAGGAAGGAGGCTGAACGCGGGAGGGAGTGGGCCGACGGCCCAATAGAGAAAAAAGAAGGAAAAGAAAAAGAAAAAGAAGAAAGGATTTTTCCTGGGATTTAAAATTGCACTTTGGTGATTTTTAATTGGTTAAAATTATTTCCAAGGCTCTGAAAATTCCACTAAAAATCTTATTAATGCATTGGAGCATGGGGAACTCAAGAAAAATTCCACCACGCTATTTCCGATTATTAATTGCATTTATTAACTAGGGATTTAGCTCTAGGTTAATTAAGATAATTTCTTCGGGCAATTTATTTAACCAATTTTTAAAGCAAGAAAAGGGGGGAAACTTCAGGGTGTGACATAGGGTTCAGCCCATGAGCTCTGATACCAGTGATAGATAAATTTGGGGAATTTGCTGTGTACTATTGACTTAGGGTCAAGGACCACATATAATGTATACAAGAGATGAAAAGACACATATACCCTTTAACAATAACTACTCAAGAGCTATGGAATCTGATTTCTTATCGAAGCTACGGCTCAGGTTGCTACCATTTCCTGAATAAAGAAGTAAAGGTTACTACTAGAATGGAAATGCTAAAATACACGGATTATCTTTTCCCTTGGTAAAAAAGAATGACTTGCTAATGGTGTGTTGTACCAAACATAAGCTTTTTTTTTTCCCATCTGAAGGAAAAATATGTACTCCCGGCCGGAGAAAAAAAATTGTACTACTCTATATCAATGCCGAAAAATGATGTTTAGATGTTCGGCTTTTCAAGGATGAAGAAGAAGTGTCACCATTTGATTTACATTGATGTGCAGTAACTGTCAGTGAAAGGAGCCAATTGCGTCTGATCATTCTTGATTTCTTCCTACTCTTATCCATGGACCCATCCGATTGCTCAAATGTGTAAAGCCTTTTTTTTTTTTTTTTTTTTTTTTTTTTTTGCAGATTGTTAAGCCATAGTTGGCTGTTGAATGAGAATGGCCTTCCAATGTATAGACAGGGTTTACCTTTTCGTTTTTAAAGTGAAAATTGTTCCTCGCTAGTTTACTGAAAACCGATCCAAAATTGGTAAAAATCAATGACTTTCGGTCAACACGGTACGGCTGATGTCGATAGCAGATAAGGGCAGTGAAGCATATCTTTTGTTTGAAAAACTGTTGGAGCATTGTGCCCCCTATGCTCTCATAAGTAATACTAATAAAGTATTTCCTCCGTCTTTAAATATATTAATCTAATAGTACTACATTAGACACAACTATTGTTAATGGGTCTACTCTAGTACCGTGATGCTCAATTTTAGGATGGAAGGAGTATGCAAACAATGCCACTTTTATTTTTATCATAGCATACATGTTCTATTTGTGCACTCAAAATACCCGGTGAAGTAATTTTCTTAAAAGAACACCTTTTTGAAAAGAAAATAATAAATACTCCGTACAAAAGAAACCTAGGGCCTGTTCACTTAGATGCTATTTTCAACCTTACCAAATTTTAGTAAAGTTACAAAAAAAAAATGGTTACATTTAGTTTGCTACCAAATTTTGGTAACTACATAAGAAATCCTGCCAAAATTTTGGTAAGTTGCCAAAATTTTAGCAACAATGCCAAATTTTGGTAAGGTTTTTTTTGACATCAAAGTAAACAAGCCCCTAATTACCCTACCTATCGTCAGCATTAGGCCCAAATACGGCAGTAGCATTCCTGGCCCATACAGAATTTAGGCCCATAACTTGGGCTTCCAGTCGCACGCGGCCCACAGCCCATATTGGTGTGGAGTCAAATTTGTCATCTGTGCCGCACATCTGTGATCGAACGTCTCGTGGAGCCCATTGTCGGTATTACTGACAGGTGGGCCATGGCGCGGTGGGGCCCACACGTCAGCCTCATGGGTTGGCAGACCCGCCGCCGCCGCCGCCGCCGCTCGCCGTCGCAATCCCCTCCTCTTCTCCGTCTCTGGCTTCCCGAGCCAGTATCCTCCATGGCGCGCCGGCGAGAGACTCTCGCTCGCGCAGCCGTGCTGCCCCCACCCCCTCCCTCCTCCTCTCCTGTTCGAGCCAATGGCTCCGTAGTCCATCCATGGCTACCGACGCGCGGAGTGGATTGTGGCGGGAGGACGAGGAGCTCTTGCCCGTAGTCTCCGGCCGACGAGTTCGAAACGCATTCGGAGGCCAGGCCACTGGCGAGGATGGCCGCGGCCGGCGGCTCCGATGTGGTGGGGTAAGAGGGTACCGTTCTTACTACTGAATCTTCAGTTGGTTCGTCTACTGAATCTAGTTAATTCGTGGAGGTTTTTAGAGGGAAATATTTATTCCAGTACAGTGCAAGCATGAACATGCAGATGAAGGCTCCGTGAATCAATTTCTGCATGAAATTAGTGGATCTGTGTTGTTTTCGGTGTGTTTCTCCGGCTGGGGATGAAGGCCTTCTGTCCCGTTTGTTGAACTCATTGTCGACATTTGGCAATTGTCCTATCACTTGAAAAATTGTCGATGGTGCTCCTCTTCCTAATTCTCATAACTGATAACTGTGTTGATGTTAACAGGCCATCGATGTGTATCCAGTATAAGCTGTTCAGCTGTTTGAGTTAGCTCTTAGGCATCTATACATGTCTTTCACGCATAAAGCATACTTATGAAATGGCTTACATGTACAGGTGAAGAAGAACAGGAAAAGAACGAAGCTGAATGAGAAAGAGAAGTTGTATACTTGTAATCACGTGCTATCTTTTCGCTGTTGCAATGAAATTTCCTGATCACATGTTCACATGAATCATATCGGCAGTTTGGCAGGCAGTTTCAGTGGCAATAAGTTCAACTGTGTGCTGCTCAACCATTTCCTTTTCGAACAAATCTATATATGTTTTATCTGTTCTTGAGAATATAGTAAAGGAACTTCTTTTCTGAAGACTGATTAAAAAAACATGACCTTTGAATCAAGCTTGTGGCCTCTCAGATAACGAACTTTTCCTGCCACCTAGTTATGAGTATAATATGGCTTACATTTACACAGGTGAAAATGAAAATGAGAAAAGAAAAGGCACAATAAGAAACAACGGCTGATGATTTATTATGTTCTGCCCTTCTTTGTTGTGACAAAGTATCTTGATCACAAGGACGGAATTGGCAGGGTAGCTGGCAGTTGCAGTAGCATTAACTGCCAACTGTGTGCTGCTAATCTTATTTGATCCAAATTATATGGTTATTAATCAAATCCCATAGCCCCATAATCCCCAACCATGCCCGAAGAAGCTGCTGTAAGATGCTCAAACTTGTATTTTGGTGCTTCTGATGCTGTGATAGTGTGATGCTTGTACATCGATTGGTGGAGTAGAGTATCCTGGTCAAAGCCATTAGCAATCTCGATGTCTTCCTCCATCTCACATATCTCTGCAATGGCAGGGGATGGCGTCAGTCTTGCGGAGGCTCTACCTCTCTGTCTACAACTGGATTGTCTTCATCGGATGGTCAGTTCTATTGCCTGCTGTTTGTTGAGTTGTGCATGAATATCGATCTCACTTCCAGCATCTTTGTTTGCTGGTCAATTCTTGGATTGTACAGGGTGTTGTTTTGATCAAGGCTCTTTGATTTGGATCTTGCAGGGTTCAGGTGTCGTGGTCCATGATATTGGCATTGTTGGAGAAGAGATATGAGGCCGTCTACGCTGCTGTAGAGCAGCATCTGCTGTTCGCGCAGACTGCTGCCATCATGGAGGTTTGTTTTTTCTCTTGTTGCCTTTATAGTAGTAAAACTGTAAATTTGGATGCAGCTGTACAACTTTTTTGTTTCATTGCTCATGGAGATTGAGAGGTGCTAAACTTTTTTTGTTTTGCTGTTTGCCTGGTGATGGTGATACTGGTAGTGCAGATTCTTCATTCCATTGTAGGTGAGATATCCTTTCTCTTTATAAAGAAAATAAGTCTTATTTTCTTCCCAATACATTGTCTTTTTTTTTGCAGAAAAACATATAATATGTCGATGACAAAACTTCAACATGGGGTACCACATTAAATTTCATTTTTGACTTTTTACTGCAAACGAAGGGATTAAAAATGATATGTGATTGAGCCTAAAAGATACATAAGAATCTGGGGGCTCTTCAGAGTGGAAATTGTTAATCATGCAAACACTTTAGGTCTAAGGGTTACCTTGATGTTGTTTTTTGGTTTTTCATAATGAATTAGATCGTGGTAGATGGTAATTACTGGTATGTGCACAACAAAAGATATGCTGTAGTTTTGATGAATGTATATAGACTTTCATATTTTTTTTATTAAAACATGCATAATTTAAAAATAATATTATTTTAAAGGAAAATCACAGAAATATTGCTCGATTGGTGGAAGTCACAAAAATAGAACCCTATTGAATTATAGTTGCTCAATAGGTGACTTGTCGAACTGGGGGAGGCCGACAGGCTTAGCTGGCGTGAGAAAAATCCAAGTCATGTAAACACTTTATAGTTTACATGAATCTGGTGGCTCTGCATGGTGGAAATTGTAGCTTGTCGTCCCACCGAAGAACAGCAAAGATTCGTCGTCCCACAGCTGATCGATACTCCCTCGTCGGGAGTAGGCGACCTTCCAAAAATAATGCAGGCCCTATGCCAATTCAAAAAAGTGACGTGGTGGAGCGGTCTGCTAGCACACTCGGATTAAATGCACTCATGGATTAAAATGCTACTACCTCCATCCTAAATGTAGCTATTTCTTGCACAGTGCCTTGTCCCAAAATAAAACTATTTCCCCACCTACCTCCTCATCTCAACCAATCACAACCATTATGTTTCATCTACTTTCTCTTCTCAACCAATCACACACTTTCTATAATTATTCTCACCTACTTTCGTTATACCTGTGACAACCTCAATAATACTTACATTTTGGCACGGAGGAAGTATCTAGCCTACCTGATTCAAGCATGTGTCAGGCCATCCCCAACCCAGAAACTATTAAGTAGTTTCCATACTTACCATGTCATATAGATACTATGTATAGAAACTATATATCCAATAGATGGTGTCTTCAAATTAAATTCTCATCCAATCATCGCTCTTCTCTCTCCTTTTATCCACCTATCCTCTTGTTTTCATTCTTGATTCTTGTGTAGAGATGGTTTTTTGCATGAGAAATGGTTTCTTCATCTTTTTACCTCTTTCCTCATTAACTCTCTTGCCACATCAAATTTTTGCTTATGTGACAATGTATTTAGGTCCTGATTGTTTCAGCTTAAGATTATTGTAATCTAGATTATTGAACCATATTACTATAAGCTGAATTATAATAAGCCGCCATAGAATAAGCTGCGAGCTGTTTGTTTCCCTGGATTATAAGTTGTTTTTTAGTTGTTAGCCACCCAATAATCTAAAAAAGCACCTTTAGAGTGGATTACTAGATTATAGTAATATGGCTTATAGATTGTAATAATCTATCATAATGAGCTATATGTTTGTTTTAGCTTATTCCTAATAATCCAGATTATAATAATCCTAAGCTGAATCAAACATGGCCTTAATGCTATGGACACGATATGACATGGAGGGTTGGGGATGGCCTCAGGGAGTTGAAACTAGCTGCATACACGGTTTAAATGCACAGGCCCTCATGTGGACCAATCGGCTTCCCAGTGGACGACAGGCCTCCATGCATGTGCCATGTAGACCTGCGGTTGCCGATATGTTTTGTGGTGGCCAGGTCAGTCTGCAGCTGATCGATAGGTGGCGTGGCAGGTCCTGTCGTTTTGTAGCTGGTTGATGGGACTATGTGGAGTTAGGCTGACAGACTTTCCGGTCCACATGTGTCTGATATGGGCTTGTCGGCCTCCCCTAGAAGGTCCCTATCAAACAACCCAAGACCGTCATGCTTCTATTTCTATGATTTTTGACAACTGAACAATATTTCTACGATTTTCCATTAAAATAATGATATATATTTTTAAACATTCTAACTTTCACATTTGTGTGGTGTAATATGTAGCCTCTAGCCTCTTTTTCAATCATTTGAAATCATTATGATAGTAGCAATAGTCTGGAATTTGAATACATCTAGAGAAGTTTCAATGTTGAGAAAATCATCTTGTTAGCTTCTTCCTAAGGAGAGAAAGGAAGTGTCCTGTTAGACTCAATTAGTTCCCCCCCAAAAAATATTTTCTTATTACTGTAACCTTAATTGTTGAGAAGGGTTGGTGAGGTCTCCAGTGTCTTCTACTCTTCCACAAATTACTGCAAGGTTGTTCATGATCTGGGGCATCTTGCGGAGCTTCCCTGAGGTAATATCAGGACCTTACTCCCAAGTTATTAGATAGTTTCTATCTTCAAAACAAGTTCTGGATTAGAAAGCACTTCTTAAAATGACAAAACATACTATATGTTAGGTAATGTTTCAGCTATTAGAACATATCCCATACTTTCGTAATGACTCTGAGTAGGCATTGGTCAAACCAAAGCGGCAGAAATTGCATAAGTAATGAAGCTGATGCAATCACATTGTGGAGAAGGATAAAATAGTGTCCTTTCCTTCCGCAGCATCCTAGTTTCCTATTTCCTGTATTTTAACTTCTCATCAAGTAATTGTTTTGTTTATAAACAATATCGGTGAATCACTGTCCACATGTTTTGCAGATACACACTCATATTTTTGTTACCTCCTTGCTCATAAGCTGGTGCATCACTGAGGTATGTTACTCCCTAAAACTTTTGACCAAATTACTCACTTGGAAGACCATGAATTTTGGATGCAATTTTATTATAATTCTGCTTCTTAAAATGATAGTAGTTGTTTTCCTGAAAGAAAATGCCAAGCTTTGAAAGTTCCTGTTTTGAGCTTAGCTGAACAAAGATTATGAAAATTTCTTCACTACAGAGCATGACTTTGTAGAAAAAAAAACTTATTCCTTGCAGGTTACCAGATATTCTTTCAATGGCATGAAGGAGTCATTTGGATTTACACCTTCCTGGCTCTTATGGCTTAGGTTGGTTCTAGCTGTAAACAGATCATAATATGTAGCGCAAACTTCAAATGAAACTCATTATCTGTGAATTCTCTTAAAAATAAGTACTTATTATTTTCATACTGATTTCTTTGCAGGTACAGCACCTTCATAGTATGCTTTCCTATTGGTATGGTTAGTGAGGTTGGCCTAGTCTACATTGTTGTTCCTTTCATGAAGGTAATTTGAATAACTTAGTAGAAAGGAAGAGCTCCGCCTCCATTTGATAACAATCTTGTTTAGAAACTATTTTCTTTTGGATGAGCAATATCAGGCATCTGAGAAATACTGCCTTAGGATGCCCAACAAATGGAATTTCTCCATCAAATACTTCTATGCCTCTGTCTTTTTCATGGCTTTGTATGCCCCAGGTAGTATTTCCCTTCAATTATACTTCATTTAGTAATTGATTATATAACCTAGTAGTTTTTCTTAAAGAAAGTTAGCTGTAGGATTTTCTGAAAGGAAATCAAGTAGGATTTGCTAACTCACTGTCAGTGCCTTGTTGTTTCATTTGGATGAGTGCAGTATACCCGCACTTGTTCCACTATTTGATCGTCCAGCGGAAGAAGGCCTTGGCAAAATCAAAAACCACATAACTACTCAAGAGCTATCTAATCTGGTTTCTGCTCGCAGCTACAGCTCAGGTTGCTACCACTTCTTGAACAAAGAAGTAAAAATGTATTAGAATGGAAATGCCGAACTACACAGACTATCTTTTCCCTTGGTAAATAAAAATGGACATGAGTACTATTTTCATGATTTGTTAATGGTGTGTTGTACCAAACTTTGGCTTTTCCATATGTAAATAAAATTGCACTCCATATCGATGCCAAAAAATGATGTGTAGATTTTCTGCTTTTCAAGGATGAAGAAGGTTGCTATCACCATTTGATTCATATTGGTGCCCTGTAACTGTTTCTGGATATTATTTCATGAAAGTAGGGGTGGATCAGTGAAAGGAGCCAATTGCATCTGACATTGTCACACTGATATCGTGGATCATCCAAATGCTGAAATGTTTAAGCCTTTACAGATTGTCAAAGAAACACTACCTCTGTTTCAGGTTATAAGACTTTCTAGCATTACCCACATTTACATAGATGTTAATAAATCTAAACACACATATATCTCTCTCTCTCTCTCTATATATATATATATATAAGCAATGCTAGAAAGTCTTATAATATGAAACGGACGAAGTAGTTGGTTGTTGTCAAACTAGGATTTGACGGCACACTGCCTTGCTGTTTCATTTCGTGAATGCAGTGGTTCCATACTTGTTTCACCATATGATATGATCGCGCAGCGGAAGAAGGCCTTGTCAAAGGCAAAAACCACATAACTACTCAAGAGCTATGGAATCTGATTTCTTATCGAAGCTACGGCTCAGGTTGCTACCATTTCCTGAATAAAGAAGTAAAGGTTACTACTAGAATGGAAATGCTAAAATACACGGATTATCTTTTCCCTTGGTAAAGAAAAGAATGACTTGCTAATGGTGTGTTGTACCAAACATAAGCATTTTTCCTATCTGAAGAAAAAAATTGTACTCCATATCAATGCCGAAAAATGATGCTTAGATGATGCCAAAAAATTGTACTCCATGTACAGGTGAAGAAGAACAGGGAAAAAACGAAGCTGAATGAGAAAGAGAAGTTGTATACTTGTAATCACGTGCTATCTTTTCGCTGTTGCAATGAAATTTCCTGATCACATATTCACATGAATCATATCGGCAGTTTGGCGAGCAGTTGCAGTGGGAATAGGCTGTGTTTGTTCACACTGAAATTGGAAGTTTGATTGAAATTGGGACGATGTGTCATGTGACGGAAAAGTTAGAAGTTTATGTGTGTAGAAAAGTTTTGATGTGATGGAAAAGTTGAAAGTTTGGAAAAAAAAACTTTGGAACTAAACAGGGCCTAAGTTCAACCGTGCGCTGCTCAACCATCTGTCCAGTTCAATCTCCATTGAATGCCAAATCAATTTGAACTGTGGCTACAAATTGATTGCTACAATCCCAATCCGAGCAAGTCATTACCAAGATGTTGAAATCTATCTCCACTGCAATGCCAAATCAATTTTCTGATCACATATTCACATGAATCATATTGGCAGTTTGGCGAGCAGTTGCAGTGGCAATAAGTTCAACTGTGCGCTGCTCAACCATCTGTCCAGTTAAATCTCCACTGAATGCCAAATCAATTTGAACTGTGGCTACAAATTGATTGCTACAATCCCAATCCGAGCAAGTCACTACCAAGATGTTGAATTCTATCTCCACTGCAATGCCAAATCAATTTGGACAGTGACTAACTTGACTCCAATCCCGATCCGAGCTAGTCACTATCAAGATGCTGATAGTATTTAAGAGCTTCTGATGCGTGTACATCAATTGGCTGAGGAATCTGGGATTCTAGTCAACTGTTAAAGCCTCAATTGGTTCACGTTAAAGCTAAGCTCATTTTGGCGTGTTGTGGTAAACTTATTTGGCATACGAGAGCGCCGTCAAAGTTAAGTTTTTTATGTAGTTGGCGGAGAAAGGCCGTTGTCTGACGGCTGACAACCTGAGTAAGCGCGGATGATTGCACCAGCGAGTTTGCTCACTTTGCATGAGCAGCGATGAGGACTGTGAGCATCTTTTTGTTTCCTGCCCTATGATCAAGGGTTGGGCTGGAATTGGCTTCCAACTGCCGGCTGAAACGCGGCAAGGACTTCGGACCAGCTACAAGGGCGCTTTCGACACTCTGGTGTTGCTTGTCTGCTGGATAGTTTTGAAGGAGGGAAACGCACATGTTTTCCATAATCAGAGCCAAGCTCTAGCTCAGCTCCCAACTACAACTTATCTAGAGCCGGAGCTGTGCCAAACAGTCCAGATTCTCTATTTTTAGGAGCGGAGTTGGCAGAGCTGCTCCACAAAATTGTACTATGGGGGTGGAGCTGGGTTTTTGCTGCTCTACAACTCTACTCCACCCCAAAAGACCCACTACCCTTTAAAATTTCAGTGTATTTACACCAAAATGCCATTGAACTACCCCTTCCTAGTTCCTACCCCATCTCCTCCCGTTCTCTCTCCTCATCCTCCTTCCTCGGTCGAGGCCGGCGGCGGCGGCGGCGGCGTCGGCGTCGGCGTCGGCAGCGGCGGGTGGGTGGCGCGGCGGCAGCGCTCGTGCGGTGGCAGTGGCGGCGGCTGGCTGCGGGGCGGGCGGCGACGCATCGGCCTCAAGCAGCGGCGGCGGTGCGCGGGCTGAGAAGCGGCGGCGGCGACGGGGCGCGGGCTGAGCAGCGGCGGCGGCGGCTGCGCGCGAGCGGTGGCGCAGGGTCGGCGGCGCGCGGCCGGCGCGCGTGCTGTGGCGGCGGCGGCGCGCGGCCGGCGCGCGTGCTGTGGCGGCGGCGGCGCGCGGCCGGCGCGCGTGCTGTGGCGGCGGCGGCGCGCGGTCGGCACGCGTGCGGGGTCGGCGGCAGCGGCGACCGGCGAGCAGACCGCCGACGGTGGGACAGGCGGCGGCATCGGTGGAGCATGGGCTGAGCAGCAGCTGCGACGCCTACCAGGTGTTCGGTAAAATGACAACAAGGGATGTGGTGGAGTGGAGCTAACCAATCTAGCCAGACACTTTCTATTCCATTGGAGTTGAGAGTTGGAGTTTGGAGTCCTACCAAACAAGGTCTAAGTTGAAGCCATTTTTTAACACTTAACACATGAATTAGATAAACAGTATTAGCAGTTCGATGTTGGGGAGTTGTTAATGTGAACTGTTCTTCAGAAGTAGTACATGTCTATGTATGTTACCACTTACGATGGTTGTTGATGTTAACTGGACCTCGATTCATACATGCTATTGAGCTGCTTCTTTATACTTTTTCCTTTTCGAACATATCTATACATGTTTTTATCTGTTCTTGAGAATATAGTAAAGGAACTTCTTTTCCGAGGACTGATTAAAAGAACATGACCTTATATACACCTTATGGAAAGAAATAATCAAGGCAAACCAGGTAAACTTGTCAACTCACGGTATTGGACCAGTCTGGTTCGCGGTTTGTGCATACACCTTATGGAAAGCACGCAACAGCAGGGTTTTCGACAAGCTTCACACTTCGCTACACCTCTTGCTGCAGCAAATACAGAGCTCCCTCGAACTATGGACTCATCGAGCTAAAGGAATTACCAAGTCTAAGATTGAGTCTTGGTGTCAACTCCTACAATTAGATCCTTAATATGTAAATGCCACTTGTAATTTTTGTAATTTATTTTCTCCTCCTTTCTATTTGTTCTTTTTCTTTTTTAACTTTGTACCACCTCATTTCTATAGATGAAATGGCTATAAAGTAGAGCCAGCTCTACCTTCTTCCGTCAAAAAGAAAGAACATGACCTTTGAATCAAGCTTGTTAACGAACTTTTCCTGCCACCTAGTTATGAGTATAATATGGCTTACATTTACACCGGTGAAAATGAAAATGAGAAAAGAAAAGGCACAATGAGAAACAACAGATGATATCCTATCTTTCTATATATATATATATATATAGAGTTAGTACCCACTAAGAAACATTTACTCCTATAAAGAAAGACATGCAAGTAGCCACATCATCAATAATTTTAAGCTATTGGATCGCATTAGTATAGAGTTATCAACCGTTGGATCAAGAAGCTAGCTACTCATCCATCTAATTTAATCATTGATTATTCATCCATTCACCTCCCTTTAGCTCATAATCGCGCGTGACATTGTTATCCAGTGTGCACATCCAAATCCTCAAAGATAATACTACTCTTTTTCAAAAAAAAAATACAACTCCAATTATTATATAAGATGTGAGCTTTGTTTTGTTATAAACAATTGGATAACATACAATAATTAGATATCATTAATCCAAACTCATTTTTGAAACATGCTTGAGATGAAGCAGATAAGTGCTACACAACCTTATTGTGACGATATCCAAATTGTACATGAAAATAACTTTCATATATCATAACAATACACAATGATGTTTCAAAAAATAAAACATGAATTGTATTGTTATAACAGAAGCTATATAAAAAGCCGCATTATAATCTATTTTGTATATACACAGAGTTACATCTAATCATTTAAAGCATTGATTTGTGCGGGGTGCCAACTAGTATTTATTATGTTCTGTTCTTGTTTGTTGTGACGAAGGCCCTATTTGGCTAATGGGATAGGGAAATAATTTCCCACCCACTAAAAGACATCTTTAAATCTTAACCATTCATTCTCCCTCTTCTATTTAATACTAACCCTTCATTCATTTCTCAATCTCAATCCCACCCCACATTTCCCATTATCCAAACACACCCGAAATGTTTTGATCACATGGACGAAATTGGCGGGGTAGCTGGCAGTTTTAGTAGCATTAACTGCCAACTGTCCGCTGCTAATCTGATTTGATCCAAATTATGTGGTTATTAATCAAATCCCATAGCCCCATAAATACATAATCCCCAACCGGTAAGATGCTCAAACTTGTATCTTGGTGCTTCTGATGTTGCGATAGTGTGATGCTTGTACATCTTGGAGGAGTAGAGTATCCCGGTCAAAGCCATCAGCCATCTCGACGTTTTCTTCCATCTCGCATATTTCCTGCAATGGCAGGGAATGCGTCAGGGGTGCGGAGGCTCTACCTCTCTCTCTACAACTGGATTGTCTTCATCGGATGGTAACTTGTTGACGCCATGTTTAGTTCCAAAATATTTTTTTAAACTTTCAGTTTTTCTATCACATCAAAACTTTCCTACACAAACAAACTTTTAATTTTTTCGTCACATCGTTCCAATTTCAACCAAACTTTCAATTTTGATGTGAACTAAACACAGCCTGACTTATGCATGAATATCGATCTCACTTCTACTCCATCCGTTAGTTTTGACTTTTTTTAGTCAAACATTTTTAAGTTTGATCAAGCTTAGAGAAAAATATAGTAACATTTTCAACACAAAACAAACATACTATTAAAATATATTCAATATTGTATTTAATGAAACTAATTTAGTGTGATAGATGTTACTAAATTTTTATATAAACTTGGTCAAATCTAAAAAAAAGTTTGACTAGAAAAAAAAGATAAAATAACGGAGGGAGTAACATCTTTGTTTGCTGGCCAATTCTTTTGGATTGTACAGGGTGTTGTTTTGATCAAGGCTCTTTGATTTGGATCATGCAGGGTTCAGGTGTCGTGGTTCATGATATTGGCATTGCTGAAGAACGGATATGAGGCCGTGTATGCTGCCGTAGAGCAGCATCTGCTGTTCGCGCAGACTGCTGCAATCATGGAGGTTTGTTTCTTTTTTTCTCTTGTTGCCTTTATTGTAGTAAAACTGTAAATTTGAATGCAGTTGTACAACCATTTTGTTTCATTGCTCATGGAGATTGAGAGGTGCTAAACTTTTTATGTTCTGCTGTTTGCCTGGTGATGGTGATGCTGGTAGCGCAGATTCTTCATTCCATTGTAGGTGAGATATACTTTGTCTCTTTATAAAGAAAATAAGTCTTATTTTCTTTCCAATACGTTGTATTTTCAACAAGGGGTACCACATTAAATTTCATTTTGAACCTTTTACTGCAAAAAGAAGGGATTAAAAATGATACGTGATTGAGCCTAAAAGCCTAATAAGAATCTGGGGGCTCTTCATGGTGGAAATTGTTAGTCATGCAAACACATTAGGCCTAAGGGCTACCTTGATATTGTTTCTTAGTTTTTCATACTGAATTAGATCGTGGTAGATGGTAGTTTCTGGTGTGTGCACAACAAAAGATATGCTGTTCAGAATATACATTTATCAAAACTACAGCATATCTGAAACTGAAAGTATATACATTTTTCATACTGAATTAGATAGTGGTAGATGGTAATTTCTGGTATCTGCACAACGTAGGGTATGCGCACAATAAAATTCTATACTTTCACATTTGTGCAGTGTAATATGTATCCTCTAGCCTCTTTTTCATTCACTTGAAATCATTATGATACCAACAATAGCCTGGAAACATTACATATCCATCTCAGAGCAGCGTCAAAAAAATTGACAGTACAACGCCCGCGTCACTCGCCCTAGGGCGACACGGGCGGCGACACCGCGCGCGCCGCCACAAACTTCTCCTCCTCCCCTCCGCCTCGCCGCCGCCCGAGCAGCCGCCGGCAAAGCCGTGCGGCGGCAAGGATGGCGGCGGCGGGGCCTTCTCCCTCTCTCGAGAAGCGCGGCTGGGGCACCGGCGGGACCCGAGCGAAGCGGACGGCGGCGACAGTGTCCGGCGCCATCTGGGCCAAATGCGGCGGATCCGGCTCCGCCGGAGGTGGATCTGGCCCTGTCGCGGCCAGATCGGGAGGGGCATGCCGCTCCTGGCAGGAGGCGGCGTGGGAGGCGGCGACCGCGACCGTTGGTGGGGGGGACGACGGATCCGGCCACTCTGGCGGCAGATCCAGTCCCCCCGGATGGCTGCGGCCGGCAGGCGGAGGTGGCCGACGCCGAGGAGGTTTGCGGCGGAAGGCAGTGGCGACGGCGACCGACGGAGAAGCGAGGGCGGCGACGGCGACCGACGGAGTCGAGAGGGCGGCAACAGCAGCCGACGGAGACGCGTAGGCGGCGGCAGCGGCTGGTCGGCGGGACCGGCGACGGCGTGCATGGCGCGACGCGCGCGAGATCCGGTGATGCTGGAGGCGGGGTGGGAGATGGTGGCAGGGCACGGTGGCGGTGCTGGCGGCGGGGTGGGGGCTGGTGGCGGGGCTGAGTGGTGGCGGCGGTGGAGCTTGGTGGTGATGGCGGCGGCGGAGCCCAAGCTGCGGTGGGCAGCCAACGCCGCGCGACAGCTGGGCGTCTGGCTTCCCCCGGGCAAGATCCGATCCCCTCCACCGGATTTGGGGCGAGAGCATCGTGCTTCGGTGGACGTTCTAGTGCCGCGTCATTTTGGACGGCGGGTGCACTGTGGCGGAGGGGTCAACAGCACGGTGCGGAGGGTGGCATGGCGCCGGTGTAACGGTCTGGTGGTCCGAGGTGACATGGACAACGGATTCGTGGCGGAGCCGGCGGTTACTCTGTCAGGGGGAGCCGCGGTCCTCTCGACGTGCACCTTCCTAGACATATGTCCTCTTGCGACGGCGACTTTGTCGGCAAAAGTTGGCCACGTCGTGCGGGCTAGTGTGGGGGAGAGGGCATCCATTCTTCTCTCTCACCCTCTCCCCATCCAACCCAACTGCGTGGATGGAGCCGGTGTGTGTCGAGGTTCGAGCTTCCCCATGGCGATTGACTGGCGGCGTGGTGCCGGTGCGGTGGCCATGCGTCGAAGGTTTTCGCTGGTGGTGGCTGCGGAGCGTGTAGGAGTTCAGTTCTTGGGAGAGACAAATTTTGGGCGAAAGCTCTGCCTTCGAGCCGGCAACAACGACGCCTGTGGGTGCCGTTTTTTCCTCTTGGGGTGTTGCCGCTTTTCTTGTCTCTCCCAATTACTTTCTTCAGGTGAAAACCTTGTCCTGGCCCTCCGGGACAGGCGACAGCGGCACTTTTGGTGTCGTACCCTTCTTGAAGGTGTCGTCTCGAAGACCTTCAGTTTTGCTCATGCAGTGGGTTTTGTTGTAGACGCGCGGTGTGGTTGTATTTTCTTTTTTTGTCTGTGGTCTTCTAGGACTATAGATTGTATTTTTCTCCTGCTTTATCAATACATGAAACTCGCACTGTCTTGTGTGGCTCGTTTCAAAAACAATAGCCTGGAATTTAAATAAATCAAGAGAAGTTTCAGTTTTGAGAAAATCGTCTTGTTAACTTCTTCCTAAAGAGAGAAAGGAAGTGTCCTGTTAGACTCAATTATTTCCCCCAAAAAAATTATTGCTTATTACTGTATCTGAGTTGTTAAAAAGGTTTGGTGAGGTCTCCAGTGCCTTCTACTGTTCTACAAGTTACTGGAAGGTTGTTCATGATCTGGGGCATCTTGTGGAGCTTCCCTGAGGTAATATCAGGACCTTACTCCAAGTTATAAGAAGGTTTATATCTTAAAAACAAGTTCTGGATTAGAAAGCACTTCTTAGAATGACAAAACATTGATGTTAGGTAATGTTGCAGCTATAAGAGCATATCCCATACTTTCATTTATGGTCATAATGGCTCTAGTAGGCATTGGATAAACCGAAGCTGCTGAAATTGCTTAAGTAATGAAGCTGTTGCAATTAATTACATCATGGATAAGGACAAAATAGTGCTCTTTTCTTCTGCATCCTAGTTTCCTATTCCATGTATTTTATCTTCTAATCAATCAGAGGATTGTTTTGTTTATAAACAATATCGGTGAATCACTGTCCACATGTTTTGCAGACACACTCTCATATCCTTGTTACCTCCTTGATCATATGCTGGTGCATCACTGAGGTATACGCTACTCCCTAAAACCTTTCACCAAATTACTCACTTGGAAGATCATGAATTTCGGATGCAATTTTATTATAGTTCTGCTTCTTGAAATGACAGTAGTTGTTGAAATTCTTGAAAGAAAATTCCTGGTCGCGTCAGCTGCCTCCTGTGCAGCTGTCCCTTCCCCCGACAGAGGAGAGAGTTTGGGAGACAAAGACCCTGTTTAGATGGGACTAAAACTTGTTAGTCCTATCACATCAGATGTTTGGACACTAATTATAAATATTTAACGTAGACTATTAATAAAAACCTATTCTATAACCCTAGACTAATTCGCGAGACGAATCTATTGAGCCTAATTAATCCATAATTAGCCTATGTGATGCTACAGTAAACATACGCTAATTATGGATTAATTAGGGCAGCCACAATGTGGCTATAAGAAGAGGCCATAAGGTTTTATAGTGACCATATACATTGTGAAACAAAGCCATAAGGCATTAAATGCAAAAGAAAGCTTTAAGCTTATGGCTTGACCACAAGCAATAAAATAATAGGGTAAAATGAATGTGAGGATGAAAAATTTGCATGGCTGATAAAAGAAGTACTAGAATAGTACATTGTGGGACCCATCTTAAAGTTTACTCTTACTTCAAACATTGTGGTAATAACCATAAGAATAGTGGGACCCACCTTAATGCTACTTATGATTATAAACATTGGAGATGCCCTTAGGCTTAAAAAATTTGTCACGCGAATTAGCTCTCATTTATGTAATTAGTTTTATAAGTAGTCTATATTTAATACTTCAAATTCATCCGATATGACAGGGACTAGTTTAGTCCCTGATCCAAACACCACCAAAATCCTTGTCTCTTCCCTCAACTCAGTCACCGATGTTGATGCGGTGGCCTCTTCTGTGGGGCCCCTGTTCAGATCACAACCGTCTTCTGATTCGCTTCAAAGCCCCTGCAAAGCTAGCCCCTGTCGAGATGCTTCTTTTGAGCTGTGCTGGCAGGCGGAGCATGTGCCCCCATCCGGTGCACATGTTCCGATGTGGGATGAGGCTACGCGCTGGGATGGCGTCGAGGCTAGGGATGGCAATCGGGCGTGACGGGCACGGGTAGTGCCTACCCATACCCATGCCCGTGAGATTATTTGTGCCCGTGGGTATACCCATTACTACATGACGGGTAAGGATGGTTGCCTATTCCCATTGCCCGCGGGCGCCTTATGCCCGCGGGCGTGCCTGTTTACCCGCCACAACAAAAGCAGTGGAACAAAAAGTCTACAAGCTTCTAAGTTCGAATCGAACTTAAAACATCAAATATTCTCCGCCTCGGTGTCGGGTCTCTCCTCTGGCGGCGATAGAGTAAGGGGAGAGAAATAATAAGGGGAATAAAAGGGAAACCGTAGAAAACAAAGAACGTGGCTTATATATTCTAGTGGATTTTGCTCCTAGCCTACATGTAAGTTAGATTTCGCGGGTAAACGGGCAAAGCGGGCATGGGTAGTGATTACCTATACCCATGCCCATTTACCCATCGGGCATAACTTTTGACCCAATAAGATACCCACGGGTATAAAATGGAGAACAAACCCAACCCTAATAGGGTTTTTACCCACAGGTAAACGGGCAAATGGGCACAATTGCCATCCCTAGTCGAGGCTAAGGCTTCCAAGGGAGATGCGGTCTGGGCCGGGCCAGATCGCCTTTCTCCAGTGGTTGTGCCTAGCCCAGTCAGGCCCAGTTCACCAGTCCAGGATGATTTGGGCTCGGGACAGCCCAACACCCTACTGGACCAAGCGGCTGAGGCCTCTGAACCAGCCCAGCATGAAGTGGTCGTTCCTTCCTTTGGGCCAGCGGTTGGAGGCGGCCTGCTCGGATGACAAGTCGCACTGGAGCCGGCCCAGCATGGTGGTGTTCACGTGCCAACCACCGAGGCGCCCCCTGATCAAGTCGCTGCGACGCCAACCCCGCCGGGCTCTCCGCAACCGGATCCATTGATCACCTTCTCTAGGCGCACCAAGATTAGAAGGCGATCCCTGCCCCACTTCTCCCGCCGCTGCCAACGCCGCCTGCATCGGTCATGCCTGCTACCCCCTTCACGCCTCGCCGGAGTGAGCGGCAGGTGGTTCAAGCACTCCATGGAGCTCCAACAATATTAATGTCAAGGTGCCAGGTGGTTTTGGCGAAAAAGCTTGAGGTTGATGCAGACGATGTACCGCCTCTTCCTCCACAGCCGACCAATAATGCACTCCAGCAGTATACGGAGATCTTTGACAATGAGCTCAGTATCGACCATCTCTTAGACATCAGCTTGCCGGGGCCCGCAGGCCAGCTAGCGCGCTGATGGCGCCGGCGTCCGTGGTGCAGGCCGCTTGAGAGCTTCGTTGTCAGGTCGCATCAATCGCGTCCCATGACGAGTTTCAACTTCAACTTCCTTGTCTGGAATGTGCATGGGTTTAAACGACCGCGCACACCGGGATGCTGTTCGGTCGGTGATTGTAGATGCTCGTTGTTCGGTCGTGTGTCTGAACTTGATGCTACACAATTAATTCCTAAGTGCTAATCTATCAGACTTTCTCTATTTGCGTGGGACAGCTCGGTCGTCAGTTGTGACAGCCCCACGATGGGAGAATTCTCCCTTACTGCACATCTTTCTTTTATTGATGGTAGCTCGCACTCTATTTCCTTACTGGTAACTCGAGGCCGACAAACTGCGGTTCCTACTAGAGTTACGATCAATCCGAAGCAGCCATTCGGGACCGTGGGTGGTGGTCGGAGACTTTAACCTGATTTACCAAGATCAGGACAAGAGCAATGCAAACTTAAACAGGCGTTTGATGGGTCATTTTCGCAGGGCCATCAATGATCTATCTCTCCATGAGCTTCACCCGAATGGTCGCTCCTTCACCTGGTCGAATGGTTGGTTGAACCCAACGCTGGAACGCCTTGACAGGGTGTTCTACACAACCGACTAGGAGGATGTATTTCCCCAATGCTTCCTTAAAGCTCTCCCGTCCACGGTCTCGGATCATTGCCCGCTTTTTCTATCCACCTTCCCTTTCGCACCCTAGAGGAGGTCGGTTCCACTTTGAGAGTTTTTGGTGCACGCTTGAAGGATTAAATTCCATGAGGTTATACAAGATGCCTGGTCATTGCCTTGCCACATTGCCGACCCGATCAGCAGGCTTGACAGCAAGCTGAGAACAACGGCCAAAAAACTAAGGAGTTGGAGCGACAAAAAGGTCGGAAATATGAAATTGCAAATGGAAATGGCAAGAGAACTGATTGGCAGATTTGATAGAGTAGAGGAATGTTTGCCCTGTCCCCTTCGGAGAGATACTTTCACAAGAGCTTAAAGTTGAAATACCTTGCGCTGGCCTCCTTGGAGCGAACGATGGCCCGTCAGCACTCTCGGATTTCGTGGCTGCAGGAAGGTGATGCCAACATGTACACGCTTCTTTCACCAGCATGCGACGTCCCATCGACGGCGCAACTTCATCCAACAACTAGAACACAACGGTCAGGTAGCAACCTCACCTGACGAGAAGGCCGTGCTGGTTCTTGCATTTGCTCGACTCCTCTCCTTCAAGATCCTTTGCTCTCATCCTTGATTTTCTAGTCGAGAGGGGGAAACCTCTACCCCAGTTGGAAGCCCCGTTCTCAGATGAGGAAGTGTGGGTTGCTGTAAAAGATACATCGCGTGACAAAGCGCCGGGGCCGGATGGTTTCACAGGACAATTCTACCAAACCTGCTAGTTGATCATCTGCGAGGATGTTATGGCAGCGTTGCAGCAGCTCCATCGCATGGACGGGTCCAGTTTTGGAAAGGTGAACACGGCTCTCCTCACGTTGTTGCCTAAAACACAAGACGCCAGGAAATTGAAGGATTTTCACCCCATCAGTCTGGTGCATAGCGTTGCGAAACTATTTACGAAGATCCTCTCCCGCCGGCTAGCCCCCATTCTGAACTCCTTGGTCGCACAGAACCAGAGCTCGTTCATCAAAAAACGGTGCATCCATGACAATTTCATGCTTGTTCGCCAATCTGCAAAGAAGCTTCATCAGAGAAAACAGTCGGCGCTTCTTCTTGTTGGTTGTCTGGAGTCCAGGCAGCTAATAGCTATGGTGGTGGACGTTGGGGGCAATTGGACATCCTGAGTGTCTGTCAGTAAATGAACTCTCATTTCACCAATGGCTATGCAGCAGCCGAATGATCATTCGAGAGCCATTGCGTCGGGGTTTTGACACGGTGGTCACGCTAGTGGCATGGACGATTTGGAAAGAATGCAACGGCCGGGTTTTCAATCAGCAACAAAGGACCTGGGTGGACATCGTGAAGGGAATGGCGGCAGAGACGGCACTCTGGCGCCAAGCGAATTCAGCCATCCCTGCTCTGATCCTCAGAAGGGACTTCGGTAGC